CCTGCTGATTAGCGACCCTGAGCTGAAGACCCCCCCCCCCAAGGAATAAACTTTGCACCCAAACAGATCAAGGAGCTTGGTGTCCTTTGATTTGGGAGCTGGGGCCTGCTAGCCATGCCATTCGTTCTCGTTCACCAATGCTACCACTAGCGAACAAGGCTGCGGGTGGGTGAACAAATAATCGTATCCCTTTGAGAGGACAAAGTATTTGCGTTCCACTCCCTTAGCAGTCAGTGGGATGGATGCAGGGGTTTGCCAGATTGTTCTCGTGGTGGACTGGATAGTCTGAATAAAGGGAACAGCTACCCTTGACGGAGCTTCCACTGACGGAATATCCACCACCGGGTCCTCCACCTCTACCACCTCTTCCACTTGCAAGTTCATATTGTGGACCACCCTGCGCAGGAGGTCCTGGTGGGCACAGAGGTCTATGGGAGGGGGGCCCAAGACTATACTGCCTGCCACTGCCTCGTCGGGTGAGGAGGAGGAGGACGCCACAGGGGGGAGAGGGTCATCTAAGGCCTCTTGCGTAACTGAGCCCAGCTGTCCCGTGCCAGCAACCTCAGGGCCTGGAGCAGGAACCAGTGTTCGAAGAGGTCCTGTAGCGGGAAGAGGAGCCACTACGGTCTCCATGCCTTCCGGGGCGGGGCGAGTGGTGGCAGCCTCTGGCACTTGTGGCTCGGAAGCCCCAGACGGAGCACCCTGGGCCTGGTGGTATGCCCAGGATGTTCAGAATGGCCATTGGGTGGGCCCCTGAGCGGGACCCTGCTCCTGCGCCTGCCAATGCCCAGCCCCCGACTCAAGGTGGCTATGGTCCACGTGGTGGCGGTCCGAGAAAGGTGACCCAGATTCCGAACCCGAAGAATGGGAAACGGAACAGGGAGGCCACAGTGGTGCCGACCAGATCTGCACTGGGTCACACTGACGGAGTGATGGTGAACGATGCCGTGACGCTGGGGAGCGGTGCCGGGACCTGGAACAGTGCCTGGATCTGGACCTGGGTCCAGACCACGGGCAGGCAAACATTTTGGCCTGGGGGCTGCATCGGGTTTCAAAAATTGTATGGTGGGCTGGTTAGAGGAGGGGGACGTGGCCCGTCCCCTACCCTCTGTCTGCCCCCCCCCGGGACTCCTGCCCCATCCAACCCTTCCTGTTCCCTGACGGCCCCCCCCCGGGACCTCTGCCCCATCCAGCCACCCCTTCTCTCTGTCCCCTGACCGCCCCGGTATCCCTGCCCCTGACTGCCCCCCTGCCGCCCCATCCAATGCCCCCTTTCCTTCCTTACTGCCCCCCTGGGACCCTCCACCCATTCAATCCCCCTTCTCCCTGTCTCCTGACTTCCCCAGAACCCCTACCCCGACTGCCCCCCACTGCCCCATCCAATGCCCCCCTCCTTCCTGATTGCCCCCCCAGGACCCCTGCCCCCATTCAACCTCCCTGTTCCCTGCCCTCTGACTGCCCTGACCCCTATCCACCCCATGACCACCCCCCTGAACTCCCCTGCCCTCTATCCAACCTGCCCTGCTCCCTGCCCCTTACTGCGCAGCACAGAGCACCAGGTCAGGCCGCGGCTCTGAGGAGCTCGCAGTCTCACTGCATCGCCCGGAGCATTGTACCGGTGGTTCAGTGAGCTGAGGCTGCGGGGGAGGGGGAACAGCGGGGGAGGAGCCGGGGGCAAGCCCGGGACAAGGACTCAGGGGCCGGGCAGGAGGGTCCCGCAGGCCAGATGTGGCCCGCAGGCTGTAGTTTGCTCACCTCTGGTCTAGACAATGAGCAGTGTTGAGAGTGGAGTTGGGTCCTGGATCTGCTCCTCGACGGTGACTGCCGCGCAGAGCAGCGCCATGACCGGGACCAGTGCCGGGAGTCGGAGCGGTACCGTGAGTATGACCAGCATCGCAAGTGCTGCGACTGCGAGCGATGCCAGGACTGCGAACGGCGTCAGGAGTGCAAGCGGCGTCAGGAGCAGGAATAGTGCCGAGAACGAGACCCGTTCCGTGGCTCGACTGACGGTGCTGACGGGTAGATCAGGGCCAGCTTTCCTCGGGACAGTGCTGCACGTGGAGGTTCCGGTGCCTTGCCATGAGTCTGAGGGGATGCCGATACCATCATGGCAATAAGTTCCCTCGCAGCTGCAAAGGTATCTGGAGTGGACGGTAACTGGACCTCGACCACGCTGTGTACTGGGAAGTCCAGGGGCACTGGACTCAACGGCTCTCCTCCCGGGGCCGGAATCAACAGTGCCGAGGCCATAGACTGTGCCCCTAGGTGCTCACCTGCGGGACACGCCTCCAGAGGCGGTTCCAAGGGGGCTGGTCTCTGTGGAGGTGGGCCAGCCTTTTCCGGCTTCCGGTGCCGCTTCTGGGCAGGAGAGTGGGAGCGGTGCTGGGCCAATGATGTTGGCTGCGGTGCCAGGAAGCGTCCGGTGCCAGGGTCTTGGTCTGAGTCCAACTGCGGTGCTGCTTCTACTGCTGCCGCCAGGGCACTGCGCACCAAGGCGCTTGGTGCCGGATCTTGGCGCGCCGCAGGAGGTTGAGGGCTAAAAGCCGCCTCTATAAGGAGCTGTTTGAGACAAAAGTCCCGCTCCTTCTTGGTCCAGGGACAAAAACCCTTGCAGATCCTGCACTTGTCTGTTTGATGAGACTCCCCCAGACACTTTAGGCAAGAGTCGTGGGGATTGCCTGTTGGCATGGAACCGCAGGCTTGAATCCCAGAGCTTTGTGCATGAGCCCAATAGAAAATCGGGAAGGAGGGGAAACCCCCCAACCCACTAATACTAACTAACTTCAACTATAACTATGAACTACTATAAACTATCAACTATGAACTATTATAAACTAGAAACTGCAAGTGCTAGGAAGAGTGGAGGCCAGCGAAGCCGAACTCCACAGTTCCAATGTCATGGGCGGTAAGAAGGAACTGAGGGGGTGCTGGATCAGCTGGGGTATATACTCCAGTGCCATGAAGACGCCACTCCAGGGGGCTCCACAGCCGACCCATCAGGTGTTGCTAGGGTAAAAGTTCTCCGATGGCTGTGCACGCAGCGCGCGCACACCTAAATTGGAATTGATATGAGCAAGCACTCGAAGAAGAACTAGTTGAAACTTACAGTAAATAACAGAATTATCAGACACCTAGATGAACATGATTTGCTGTGAAGGAAGCAGCATGTCTTTTTTAACGGGAAATCATGCCACACCAATCTATTAGATTCTCTGAGGGGGTCAACAAACATGTGGACAAGGGTGATCAAGAGGATACAGTGTACTTGGACTTTCAGAAAGCCTTTGACAAGGTCCCTCACCAAAGGCTCTAAAGCAAAGTAAGCAGTCATGGGATAAGAGGGAAGGTCCTTTCATGGATCAGTAACTGGTTAAAAGACAGAAAACAAAGTGTAGGAATAAATGGTCAATTTTCAGAATAGAGAGAGGTAAACAGCAGGATCCCCAAGGGATCTGGACTGGGACCAGTGCTGTTCAACATATTCATAAATGATCTGGAAAAAGGGGTAAATAGTGAGCAAAATTTGTAGATGATACAAAGTTACTCAGGATACTTAAGGCCAAAGCAGACTGCGAGGAGTTACAAAAGAATCTCACAAAACTGGGTGACTGGGCAACAAAATGGCAGACAAAATGTTGATAAATGCAAAGTAATGCACAATGGAAAACATAATCCCAATTATGCATACAAAATGATGAGATCTAAATTGATGGTTATCATTCAAGAAAGAGAATGGAGTCATCGTGGATAGTGCTGCAGCAGTCAAAAACGCTAACAGAATGTTAGGAACGGGATAGATAATAAAATAGTGAATATCATAATGCCACTATATAAATCCATGGTATGCCCACACCTTGAATACTGTGTGTAGTTCTGGTCACCCCATCTCAAAAAAGATATATTAGAACTGGAAAAGATATAGAGAAGGGCAACAGAAGTTATTAAGGGTGTGGAACAGCTTCCATATGAGGAGAGAATAAAAAGACGGGGATTGTTCATCTTGGAGAATAGCTGACAAAGGGGTGATATGATAGAGGTCTATAAAATCATGAATGGTGTATAGAAAGTGAATAAGGAAGTATTATTCCTTCAAATAACACAAGAACCAGGGGTCACCCAATGAAATTAATAGGCAGCGGGTTTAAAAACAAACAAAAGGAAGTACTTCTTCACATAATGCACAGTCAACCTGTGGAACTCATTGCCTGGGGATGTTGTGAAGGCCAAAACTATAACTAGGTTCAAAAAAGAATTAGATAAGTTCATGAAGAATAGGTCCATCATTGACTACTAGTCAAGATGGTCAGGGATGCAGCCCCATGCTCTGGCTGTCCCTAGTCTCTGACTGCCAGAAGCTGGGAGTGGATGATAGAATGGATCACTTGACAGTTGCCCTGTTCTGTTCATTCCCTTTGAAAGCATTTGGCATTGGCAACTGTCGGAAGACGAGATACTGGGCTAGATGAACCACTGATCTGACTCAGTATGGCCATTCTTATGATGAAGACCGCTAACTATTTACTAATATCTATCTATGCATTTCTAGTGTGCCCATCAACATGACATATCCCATGCATAGAAATGTGGCAACCCAGTATTGAACATACGAAGATTAAAGCAGAAATTAGCTGCATTTTTCACAAAAACAAAAGCAGCCTAAAAATAAACAGGATAAATGAACCTTGCACCATAGACTGGTCTTATAAAAAAACCTCTGAATTAAAGCCAACACTGAAATGTAAATTAGTCCAGATTCTTCACAACTATGAAAGAAAAGATAGTATCAGCTCTGTAACTCTTCTACAACTACACTGGACACATTATCCTAGGCAGAGAACACACCAAAGGCCATTTATACATCATTTAAGTCCCACTTAAGCCACAGGACTTCTGGAGTGAATTTCATCTGAGTGTACACAGACCTTTCCTGACATAAAAATCCTTCAGTACAACAATTTTAAAAAAAAGTGAATTGTATATTAAACACAAGAAAGACATACCTAGCGGAGCTTTACAAACAACTCTGCCTTTACTATGACTGCAGTCAACTTCAGACCATGTTCCATTTGTGGATAGGATAACACTGCATTTCCCATTGACTTTTGAAGTTCCGTTTGCCCAATTGGCATATTTAACTGCTGAACCATCAAGCCAGTTCAAGGACTTAGCTGTAGGGAAAGATCACAAATACTGCTTTCATAAATCACCATCAAAATTTGCAATATTGCAGCATAATGTGAAAAATGAAATTTATTAATTTCATCACATTTCTAAACATCAGCTGTAGGTGCCCATCCAGTGAGCTGGGTGCCGATTACATAAATAACAAATGACAACAAACTGCCCATAAATATAAATATACCCATCTCAGTGCACCCTTCCTGAGAGAGACAGGCTTTGCAGCATGCCCAGGTTAACAAATCTGGGATCTGGCAGACCAAGGTTTGGGAGTGAAGTAAGTTCAATTACTGAGCAACCTGCAGAGAAAATGCCGTCAGCACCTCAGTCTCATGTATATTGAAGGAGTTCCAGCGCAAGTGCCTTTGCTCATCCTAAATGTGGCACAGGGAGAGGTGATACTCAGATAACCAGGTCCCAAATCATTTAGGGCTTAAAGTCCACCTAGAAACTTACTGGAAGCCAGTGTAGATCATGGCGTCCTGGTCTAATGTGCTCCCAATGTGCGACTCCACTTAATAAGAGCACTGCAGCATTCCAGCAATAGATTAAGCTTCTAAATAGTCCCCATGTAGGGTGCATTACAGCAATCTAGTCTTGAGGTGATAAAATCATGGATAATTCTGACAAGGTTCACATTGGAGAGAAAGGTTTATATTTGTCTTGCCAGGCGCAGATGGAAAATACTCTGTCAAAGCTGCTACCTGGGCATCTAGGACTGGCCCAGAATCTAACACCATCTCCAATTTTCACACTGTTTTACAAATGGCAGTTGCATGCCCCTATAAGTTCCACCTACTCTTCTGCCTGCTTCCATCAGCCCACCATTATCTCAGTCTTGTCTGGATTAAATCACAGCCAGCTAGTTCTCATCCAAACCCCAAGCTCTTGTACAATGTCCCTTTGTTGATTATCTAATTTTCATTCCAAAACCACAAAAATAGAAGTGTTTCTGTGAAACTCATAAAATAAATATTTTAGAATAATTTTCAAAAGCCAACAAAAACAGCCTCTCCGCATATACCTTTTCTAACCCATCTGTCTTAATCTAGCAGCAAAGTTTGAATTTAACCCACTGAATATATGTGAAAATAATTCTAAATCACAAAACAAGAAACATTAGGAATTAACATAAACTGAGAAGGGGTAGAAGTTACTATACTACAGTAACTCCTCGCTTAACATTGTAGTTACATTCCTGAAAAATGCAACTTTAAGCGAAACGATGTTAAGCGAATCCAGTTTCCCCATAAGAATTAATGTAAACATGGAGGGTTAGGTTCCAGGGAAATTTTTTTCACGAGACAAAAAACTATATTATACACACCCCTACACACACCCCCACACACAGTATAAGTTTTAAACAAACAATTTAATACTGTACACAGCAATGATGATTGTGAAGCTTGGTTGAGGTGGTGAAGTTAGAGGGTGGGATATTTCCCAGGTAATGCCTTACTGCTGAATGATGAACTAGCATTCGGCTGAGTCCTCAAGGGTTAACACATTGTTGTTAATGTAGCCTCACACTCTACAAGGCAGCACAAATGGAGGGAGGGGAGACAGCATGGCAGACAGAGACACACACCCTGTGTGTGGGATAGAGAGATGTGCATTGCCCATTTAAATACTCTGACACTACTCTAAGTACATTGCCTTTTTAAGTATATCAGGAAGTTGAGACAGCAGCTGCTGCCAGCAAGCTCTCTCTGTCCTGAGCCCTGTTGTGTCCCCACCCTGCTCTATATGGAGAAGGGGTAAGCGGGGGGCAGGAGCGGGGAGAGGGGAGCACCCTGACATTAGCCACTCTCTTCCTCCCCCATTGCACAGCAAGCAGGAGGCTCCTGGGAGCAGCTCCAAGGCAGTGGGCAAGAGCAGCACATGGCAGTGGGGGGAGGGACAGATGCACTGCCGGCAACTGATAGCTTGCTGGGCGACTGCCGCACAGGGAACTTAGGAGAGCGGGAAGCTGATGGGGGGGGGGAGGGGGGAGGGCTGCTGGTCCACCCATGTTCCAAGCCTCCACCAGCTAGCTGCAACAGGCTGCTCTTCCTGCAAGCAGTGGACAAAGCAGGCAGTTGCCAAACAAGGTTATAAGGGAGCATTGCGCAACTTTAAAGGAGCATGTTCATTAACTGATCAGCAACGAAACAACATTAACTGGGACGACTTTAAGTGAGCAGTTACTGTATATAAATTAATGCTAACAAATTGCATAGCAGCGGCAGTTAACTTTTCAAATTCTAAGTATTTTTATATTATTTTCATTCATTTTTATTTACCATATAAGATATATATACACACACACACATAGTTGGTAGTTACTTCTTACCCCTGAAGTTCTGAGACAATCCAAGCCACACTCTTCTGGTGATGAAGTCATTTTGCCTTATGTGCTTACTGACAAATATATTCTCTTCAGCATCCTTTATAGTCAATAGTGTTGCAGAAGGATCTAAGGGAAGAGTTTAGTGGTCAGTACAGAAAGAAATTTTAGAGGTTTCCCTCATAGTCTTTTTAAATTAAATGGATTTTCTGAAAATTCAAAAGGGATCATTTAAGGCACAGAAATGAGAAAGAACGTTTGCTAATTTGGACTCCTAAAATTTTGATATGTAATCTGCAGAGGAAAAACACAGATTAGGAGAACAATGCAATGTCATGAGCAGCCTCAGATCAAAGTTAACTTCTTGTTTTGTCATCTGGGCAGGTGATGCAAAATAAAATAAAGAAAATTCTCCTGCAAGTCTGGAAAGATATTAAATGATACTTTACGGAAACAGAAGCACTGATCCTGCCAGGTGCTAAGCATCTTCTGTAAATCCCCTTGATTCTTATTAACCTAAATAGAGGCTCAGCACCTTGTAGGATCAGGCCAATTTTCTGTATCTAAATAACAAATAATATATTTATATACAATGTCACTGCACTTAAGGTGTAATGGGAAGGAGGGCGTGCACTGGGGGAGGTGGCGGGGGGAAGGGAAGGCGTGCTTCTGTGCACCTGATCCTCTGCTGGCATAAAAGACTTTCTGCCAACAGCATAAGTTAAAGAAGGACTACTCTTGGTCTAACCCACGCTGGGTCCAAGTGGCCCTCAATTGGGTGTCACACCTGGTAATGGGAATACCTGCTTCTTTATTTCAGTTTATCTTACACAGTTTAATTAACATTAAATAGTAAAAAAAAAATATACGGCTAAAATTATGACAGTTCAAACGTGCTAGAATTTTGAAGGGAGCAAAGGATTCTGTACATGAGGAATTACATGCTGTTTATATTATCTGTCACAAAACAATCCCCAGTATTTACTAAAGAAAAAAAGCTCTTCTTTAGCACAAAAACTGGCTTTTCAGCTTCTGTGTGCATCAAGTTTAAACTGTGAAGTGTCTACTTTCAAATCCTCGGTGGGATTTCTCTGCATTCATCCTATGCCCAGGGCTATAATAAGAATAACTTTGTAACAAAGCTACAGCCTTTAATTTGTATAAAGTGGTTTGTGTAAAATAAAAAGGTTTTCCACTGGAAATCAGCTTTGATTTTCTGAATCCTTTATCAATGGTTACATATGAGGTATCACTTTATTTATGTACATTCATGTTCCAGATAAGTAATCAGAACACTGCACATCTTTACCAAAAATATTAATCAAATGCTCCAAAAATCATTAGATAAAACCAGCCATTAGACATATTCCTAAATCAAATAAAGCAGAAGTTTTGCCAGTGTGTTTTTTCTAATTCTCCCTTAATGATAAGCTATTTACAAGATATAACACATTATAAATAAAACCAAACATACCCAGCTTCTGACAGACTCTTTTAGCCTCTTCTGCAGTATATACTGAAAAATTGTATAATGCCATGTCAAATGCATAGCAATGATCTTTATACTGCAACCACTGCGATGTTCTAGTACCCTGTGGACACCTGGAGGAGCCTTTGGTTTGCTGTGGCTGTAATCGTCTCTCTGTAAAAATATAAAGACTTTGTATTATGCAAATTAAAAGAGGCTCTGCGGAGTCAAATAACTCTGGGGTAGGGATCCTATATACAAAAATACACACACATGCTGGAATCGGGCTCAATCACTGTGGACCTCTGATTCAGGAGCTGACATTTATACCATAGGTCACAAAGAGATTATCAGTCTAACAATTTATAAAAATTATATTAATTTATATTTATATTAATTTAACTATATTAATTTCTTCCATGAAACATTGGGTCATGTTGAAAGTGATCCCTCTAATTTGAAGAAACTAAGGTAATCTGAGGTCACCAGTTTTATTTATCAGATTTTGCCAAGAAAATTGTCTAAGATGAGGGAGTATGTAACAGAGACAGATGGTGACAGTCTCATGTTCCCACTACTCAAAATAAGATTCATAAGTTAATATCGTAATTTTCATAGCACCTTTCACAAAAGGATCTCAAAGTGCTTTATTGCTTTATAAAGGGAGGGTAAATATTTCCCATTTTACTAGTGGAGAAACTAAGGCACAGAAAGGTTGTGATTTGCCCAAGCCCCAAAGCAAATCTTGGCATAGTTGAGAATAAAACTCAGGAGTATTGACTGCAAGTCTCCTGTTTTAATTACTATTCAACACTGCCCTCCAAAAGCCTTTCAGTAATGTGTTAGTCAACGTACACCCTGCTCAGCTCAGTTCAAAGTTGCACTCCATTGATGGGCATGGGAAAGAAATGTCCTGAGCAGTTATCAAAATCTTAAAACAGAAATCCAGTGACAACACATGACTTTGACAGAGTCAGTATTTCATGGAAGCTGAGCCAACAAAACTCTGCAGTGAAAACATTTTTGGCATAAAGAAACCCTCTCACATTAGGCTGTTTAACAAGCAGTATCTATTTTTAATGCCTGTTTAGGTAGCTGGCCACCACTGTTATCAAATACCAAAGTATGGTGCCACAAAGCTTACAAGATATACTAACCGGTAGTTTGCTACTCCTTCTAAACAATCAGTCTTAAAGAACAAAATGTTTCGTTTAGTCTAAATCACATTTCTTTCAGTCTTCATTTTCTGTTCATAATACAGCATGTAAAATAGAGTATGTGTTAAATTACAGGAAAAAAGGAAATCAGGCTTACTGTCTGAAGAAGTATAGCAAATGGCACCCTCAATAACATTTGTGCACCTTGCACGTTTCCAAAATCCTTTAGTATCCAGAAAAACACAGTTCCCAGTAGATTTAGAGTTTTCCAGTTCCCAGGGACGGTAGTCAAATTCACTTCCATCAGACCATTCTAAATTAGATTCACTTCCCTGATTAAAGAATAATAATTTTTATACCACTGAATTCAGGCCTTAATTAATCAAATATAAACACAGATAACGTACAGAGAGTGATGCACTAAAGAGTCGAAGACCCATTTCCTCCAAGTCAGTACTGAACCAATGCCCAACATGGTTAGCATGTTGTGTCTTCCAGGTAATACTTAAAACTGAGGCCCTGGCCACCTGTGATCACTGAGGAGTCTGTGGTACTCTTAAGTACAGGGTTATGACCAGGCCAAATCCCAACCTGGTAACATTATGCCTCCCTAATTTTCCCCCTATGGTTTCAATTACATAAGGCATTATTCAAGAGCTGACAATTCCTGTCCTAACAAATCTATTGCTTAGTCATGTTGTGAGCTGTTAAACCACAGGGGTGGGAGCAGTATGTAAAGTTTGTTTATCAGTTTGTGATGAAAGCTACTATGCTAGATTCACTTGGAAGTGTAGGCTGGTGGAAACCATGGCAGTGGAAAGTCTACCATGGCCGGTGAAGGGATTAGTGCAGCTCAAAAGATGGGTAGGGTGGTGGACATATGCCCTGAATTGATGTTTCCCCTGAGCACTATTTGCTGGTGGGCCCCAAGGGGAGCTTAAAGTTACCCTCCCCTTTGAAAACCCTGAGGAAGGATGGTGGCACAGTGGGCAAAGTGGAGCAGAGAGGCTGCATGGTGCACTTCCCTGTGCTATTGGGGTGAATTTGGCCCATCATGTAAGTATGAAATCAGACACTCATTCTAAAATACATTTCTAATCCCCTAATATCTAAGTGTAGGAAAAGTTAACATATATTCTTAGTGGTAGGGAAAAAAGAAAGCAAATAATCTTCTAGCATGAAATTCAAGCCTCTAAAAGAGCTTGGAAAGATCACAAAGATTTTGGAAATCAACTGCAGAAAATTATTGCAGAAAAAGAAACAATGGTCATGACAGTAGAAACTTACATCAAGGCTTGATAGCCCAATCCACAGTGGATATCCATCACGCTTTACAATATTGTCCAAAAACACCTGATGGGATTCACTGTGTATGCTGACTAAATCACTTCCATTCTGTTTGCATTCTCTTAATGCTTCATACCAGGTTATTTTTTTCTGAAGGATCCTGTATGTGCTATTTCCATGTAGTATATACTCAGGCAATGGAGGCTTGTTCTCTCTGGGCCCTATTTCAAGATTAAGATCACAGTTAATTCTATACGCTTCATTCATGTTATCAGAAATATGTGGCAGATATTAAAATCTATCAGTCTATAAGAGGGGTCAGCAACCTTTCAGAAGTGGTGTGCCGAGTCTTCATTTATTCACTTTAATTTAAGGTTTCGCGTGCCAGTAATACATTTTAACATTTTTAGAAGGTCTCTCTCTATAAGTCTATATACTACATAACTAAACTATTGTTGTATGTAAAGTTTTCAAAATGTTTAAGAAGCTTCATTTAAAATTAAATTAAAATGCTGATCTTACACTGCCGGCCTGCTCAGCCCACTGCCAGCCTGGAGTTCCGTTCAGCTAGGCCGGCAGCAGGCTGAGCGGGGCCTGCGGCTGGGACCCCGGCTGGCAAGGGGCTGGCAGCCAGAACCCTAGAATGGCAGCAGGCGGAGCGGGGCCTGCGGCCAGGACCCCAGAACGGCAGTGGGCTGAGCGGCTTAGCCCGCTGCCACTCAACCCGCTGCCGGTCTGGGGTTCCATCCGCTGGCTCCTGCCAGCCAGGGTCCCGGCTGCTGGACCCGCTCAGCCCGCTGCCGGTCTGGGATCCCGGCCCTGCCTACATCGAGTGGGTACCTACCTTCTCCCTGGTTCTAGCCCATTCTCTTCCTCTCTCTCTGCACTGAGCTGAGGGTGGGAGTACACTGAGCACAGGGCTGGGGGTGAAGGAGCAGGCTGGGGGTAGGGGTGTAGGGTCTGGCCAGGAAATAGAATGAGGGAGGGGACGCAGGGTTGGGGCAGGAGGTTTGGGTGTGGAGTGTTTACCTGGGCTGCTCCCATTTGGTGCGAGGGATGCAGGTGGGAATGTGGGGTGTCTGTGCAGGAACTCCCGTTTGGTGCACAGGGTGGGGGTGCGAATGTGGGGGGTGCAAGAGTCAGGGCAGGGGGCTGGGAGTGTGTGAGGAGGGTGCAGGAGTCAGGGCAGAGGGCTGGGGGTATGTGAGGGGGGTGCAGGAGTCAGAGCATGGGGTGTGGGGGGGCTGGAGTCAGGGCTGAGCAGGGCCGGTGGCTGGGACCCAGCAGGCCACAGCCTGCCATTAAAAATTGGCTTGCGTGCCAACTTTGGCACGCATGCCATAGGTTGCTGACCCGTGGTCTATAACAACTCAATTCAAGCACTGAAGTGTTCAGTACAAATTACTTATGGGATACATATTATCTTTTTTTATATTGAATGATAGGAGAAAAAGATGGAGGCACACAGCCAACATCCATCCTGAGCAGAGTACTAGAATACTGATAGAGAGCTTCATCCTGCAAATTGAAATCCATGAGAGTTTTACCAATGAATTCAATGGGAGCAGATGCAGGGTCTTCACTGGGAGTCCTGTTCATGGAAGACTTGCAGGACTAGGCCTTAACATTAACTTTACCTCGCCAGCCCCCAAAACTTTGGGTGTAATTGTTTCTGGATATTACTTACCCATTTCAATTTTACAGGCAAGAATACTGTGTTGATTAAATTCAAGAGCTTGCCAACTTTGCGTACGGTTGTAAATATCCCAAAACCCATCAAAGTTCACTCCAGCAAAAAACTGATTCTTCTTTACATTAGGTCTTCCCTGTCTCCAGTTCTTGTAAGACACAAAAGTTTCATCATACCATTTTAGGGAATTATCTGTGGAAAATATAAAAACATTTCTATATTTTGCCTTGAGCAAAAACAGATTTTTTAAGAAATGTGAAATTAATCTACAACTGAAGATGGTGTGCTCCTGACCAGAATTAATAAAACACTCACTTTAGATCAGAAGGCCTGTTATTACCTGTTTTTTGAAGTTGCTAGAGTTTCCTCTAAGCCCTGACCAAAATTCTAAGTGTCAAGAGAAAATGTTCTTTGGAGATTACCCAAATTAGAACTGTGAAAATTCAGATTACAAAAACCAAACCAAATAAACAGGTGCCTTGCAAGTAACCCAGTACTATTTTCTGAAGAAGGGTGGTCTGGTGGATAATAGCTATAACTAGGAATCAGGAACTCCTGAATTTTATCCTGGCTATGATGCATACTTCCGCTGTAGCTTAATGTGACTCATGTCTCTGCCTTGTTTTCACATTTTGTAAAATGGAGATTGCCATGACCCTGTGTGTTCTGCAATTCCTTAGCCATGCAATTTGCTAGAAAATCCATCCCTCTGCAATAAGGTGCTCTGGAATCTAAGATTTCTTCTCTCTTTTTTTTAAAAATTATGTTTCCTGCCCATGAAGATTACTTTTAAAATAAGAACTGAGTGTAATTGATGCAGTGTTGTATTTCTGAGTCTGCAGACAGTCTGAAATAATAGCTCTGAGAAGTGTGAACTACCCCATTCATCACGAGTTCAGTATTTGAAACCTAAAGATGAAAATTTAAGGCTCCAACACTAAAATCAGATCTTTGCACCTGCATGGAACCCCTTAAGTTCCAATTCTGCTAACTACTCTACAGTTTATTGTTTAAATAGAAGAGTCCAATTACAGCACTTGTCCCACAATCCAAAACTACCTCCTGCTCCACCTCTCCAAGGACTACAGATTGCAACAGAATTCAGACACCCTGCCTCAGAATCTACATCTAGAATGAAGCAGAGTACGTGGATTATTGGGGATCATGAAAAAATTACTGATTTACGTCACTGAGATTTATTCATTCATCTTTGTAAAATGCTTTGAAGATGAAAAGCACTATTATTCTAACAGAATAATTGCAGAAAACTTACTAAAAGAAAAGGACAACCTATGCATCTGATGAAGTGAGCTGTAGCTCACAAAAGCTTATGCTCAAATAAATTTGTTAGTCTCTAAGGTGCCACAAGTCCTCCTTTTCTTTTTGCAGATACGGACTAACACGGCTGCTACTCAGAAAACTTACTGCACATAATAGAGAATGCAGAGTTGGTCACAAGATGCAGCTATAGGAGCTTTAGTAGTTTGCTACTCAGTCTGGGCTTGAAATTCCAAGGTAGTGAGCACCCAAACTGTCACTCACTTCAGTGGGAGTTGTGGGTGCTCAGAACCTCTATAAATCAGGCCTATGTATATTGCTAAAAATGTTACCACATATCATTGTGCTCTTTTTAAATCCTGCCTTTTGGTAAAATCAATAACCTGGATTAAGCAGACTGTGTAGGATCTAAATATCACTAGAACAGACAAAAGATGTCCAGTTATTTTCCTCTAAAAACATAAATGAAAATATAAGGTAGTTGTAAGCATTAGTATATATTTATTTTTATGGTGTCTTGGATTGCTCTATCCAAGTATGTAAGAAATGTATCAGTTTAATGATAGGAGGTTAGCAAATTTTATTAAGAAAAAAATCTTACCGCTGTCATCATAAATTATGCCCAGCCATACCCATCTAGCTAAGCCACTGAAAGAACGTAGCTGCTCAACAACAAAGTTATTTTCTTCCTCATCTCTAATATTCAAGACAAATGCATCTAGATCTGTTGAAACAATTTTTAAAATAATAATTAGTTTATTACAAGTTTATCTATCATTTACAAAACAAATTAAGTTTTGATCGCCAATGTTTAATAATTAACACACACACACACACACAGACACACTCACACTCTAAAAGGACAGACAACACATCAGCCAAAAAAAAATTAGGAAAAATTACTGTTTTTCAAAAGGCAATGTCAACACTACCTGTTCTGTGAGTATTTTGTAGATAAGTGGAAGATTTCAGCTTCTAGCACTGTCAGCTATGCTTTTCAGGAGCACTTCATACACTTAAAAACAAGTACCTTTTTTGGATATTTCTATACAGTAAAGAAAAATCCATTGCTGGCCCATGCCAGATGACTCAGGCTTGTGGGGCTCAGGCTGTGAGGCTGTTTCACTGCTGTGTAGACTTTTGGGCTTGGGCTTGGGCTGGGGCCAATCCCTAGGACTTTGTGGGGAGGGAGGGTCCCAGAGCTCAGGCTCCAGCCAATTTTTAATGCATAAAGAGTATCCTACACAGCAATGAAACAGCCCCACAGCTCGAGCTCTGTGAGCCCGAGTCAGCTGGCATGGGCCAGCCACGGGCTTTTCTTTGCTGTGTAGGATACTCTTTATGCATTAAAAATTGGCCCCTCCGATTTTAAAAAATAGACAACAATATTTGCTATCTTTCAAACTCCTCGTAGGCTTCACCTCCCTAGTTTTTCAGTTTCTGTACAAGCAGCTTAAAAGAGACTGCCAATTTAAAATCCAGTAATTAAAAGAAGTACTTACTTATTTTCTTGCATAAATGGTGGGCTTCTTGTGATTTCATTTCTTGCCATCTATCTTTTGTTATCATGAAAATGTAACAACTATTTTGAAATGATATCCATGGTGTATTTTTAAACGTATGTGGACATTTAATATGTTCAACAACTTGTTCTTTCTCAGTCTCATCTGAAAGAAAAAGAAAACTCTCTTAGGTCATGCACAATTTTAATATAAGACAGCATGGACTCCAGCATGGAGTCCAGACTGTATGAAGAGGCCTCCACAGGGTCCAGAGGGGGTGCAGATGGCTAAGTCCTCCTTCCACATGGAGGTGAGGGAGATCCATGTGCAGAGGGTGTCCTCAGTGGGCGGATCTGGAGGGCACAATCTGGGTCAACACAGCAATCCTGAATGTTACTAAATAATTACACAGTGCTTGGGTAACTTGCTCAGGTGTTAGATGGCCCATTTCCAAGGCACTAGGGGGTTTTTTGGTACACAAACAACTAAACAAGCCTGTTCTAGGAAGTAGTCTAAGTTTAGTGTATATAAATGGAACATTTTTATTTTAAAATAATTATAAACCATCTTTGTTACTGAGTTTTACTATGTATATTACTTATGAAAGCTGTTTTTTTTTAAATAATGAGAATGTATTTTCTCAGAATACATACTTGTTGGCAAGTAGCAAATAGCACCTGGATTTTCAGAGGAACATTCAGAAGTTTTCCAGAATCCATCAATATCCAAAAACACACATTCATCACTTGTTTCTTCGTCTTCTTCAGACCAGCGACTAAAATCAATGCGCTTTCCATCTGCCCAGCCATAATGTTTTCCATCCTAGCATCATACCAATAAAAGATGAGAGCTTACACACTTAAAAAAGTGTCTAGGTGCATCAAATGACATGATACTATATTTCTACTGGGTGAAGTCCTGTGTTTAGCAAGAATTGCAGGTGCTCAGCAGCTCTTGGGATTTGGTCTCTTGTTAAAATAATAAATGAAGTCTGTCACATTCAGTTTTGCTGCGGAAAAAAACTACATCGACTATTGTGAATGGCAAATGACAATACTTATATGTTAGAGAGACAAGTTGGGTGAGGTAATATCTTTTATTGGACCAACTTTTGTTGGTGAGAGAGACGAGCTTTCAACCTTAGACAGAGGTTACCTGAATAACTACTCTGTGTAGCTTGAAAGTTTGTCTCTCTCACCAACAGAAGTTGGTCCACTAAAAAAATATTACCGCACCCACCTCGTCTCTCTAATATCCTGGGACCAAACACGGCCACAACAACAGTGCAGTACTTAGATGTCTAACTATTATGCTTGATTTGTAGGCAAAGCCAGGTAGATAAATGGTATCATTTGAACCTGCAATTAACTATGGGCACAATTATTTGTGCATGGAAATTGGAAGCGATTTCTAAGAGTCAGTCTTGTTGTTTCCCCATGTTAGAGCAAATGTAACATATTAATGTTTAATATTAAGTACTTTTTAGAATTTATAATTAGACATATTCCTGCCATGAAATTGACAATAAATAATAATAAAATATAATAATAATTAATCATATTAAAACACAAGAAAAGTAAGAGGATCTATGCTTTAGGAAAGTTATATTTAAAAGTTTTCTTCTGTATTTAAGACCACTCATATTAGGAACTGATACCAGCTGTGATAATCTTTTTTTCTTCCTCTTTTTGTTTTTTTTTAGCTGAATATATCTTCCTGGTGTGTTCAGTACTACAATTGCAAGCTCTCCTGGTACTGTCTCACTGTCTACAGGCATGAGCTGCTGGGTGTAGCCAGTACCCTTCTATATGTTTCAGAGCTTTAGGGCCATATGTAACAGGATGAGGCATTTGATCCCCACTTAAAGGTCACCTACAAAGGGGGGGGAGAGAGGTTGTCTTCTTTTTGACTTCTTGTGAAGTACAGATAAAACATGAAAAGTTTGTTTTCTTCAAAAATTCCCTGTACATTTTATACATTAAAAAATACCAGGTTTTTCTTTCCTGTTATTCCTGGAAAACTCTTTGGACAGCTGCAGAAGTAGGAGAATTATGATGTCATAGATACCAAGCAAGTGAAACCTGACCGTGAGAACATTTTTTATTTAGGCTATTTAAAACTTTGTTTTTTGCTTATTTTTGGTAATACCTATTTAACTCAAACATCCATAAATGGTTGGAAGAAAAGATGTTTGTTAAAGATTCAACACCCACTCACACACCCATGCCCCAAACTCTTTAATTAACGGATGAGAAAGCTCCCAATCCACACTGGGAATTTCCAAGAAGTCCTCCAACAAACACAAGAGAAACACTATTGACATTTTTAAGATAAAAAAGCATAATTTTTTTTAAAATACCCTTTCACAACTTTTCTCCGTTATTAAGAAGCAAACCCCACCTGAAAAAATCCATTCCAAGTTCTAAGATAAGATGTTACCAATATATTTCAAACAGTTTTTAGCAGTTGCTTTTGGATTTCATTTGCTATCTTTCAGGTTTTCTCTTTTTAAAAACATTTTGGTTGGCCTTCCTTGACCCCACCCCAGAATTTCAAATGACAGTGGCAGTTATAGAACCACTGACAACAGAGTGGCAAAGATGATGCAATGATATAGTTTGCTGCTAATATAAAACATTTTTTTCCATCTTAAAACCTGAGGAACATAGTGTCCTCTCAATCGGTCCATCAATCGGAGTTCCACACTTGAATGTGCACCTCAGAGAACTGAAAATCTAGTATATAACCCTGAGCACCAGGACTGGTTAACCTCCCACTAGACATCTAGCCTCAAGATGGTTCTCTGCAACTGAAAATAGATGCCCCTGGAAACATCTATTTAAAAATAACCCAATAATTTTCAGTTTCATTGTTTCCCCAGTCATTCCTTTACCATTCCACCCTACCCTAAAAAATGGTTCTTACGAGGGATGGGGAAGAGATAAAACTTACATCTTTGCTGAAGAGTCCAATCCACAGTGGGTAATTGTGAATGGCAGCCTGCACAGTAAGAAAAGCCTGTTGGTACTGATCTGTGATGCTAACGAGCTGCATGTTTTTCTGTTTGCACTCCCGCAGTGCATCATACCAGGACAAATTCTCCAGAATTACTGTGTAATGGACATTTTGATAGGTCAGTGTTTCATTAAGGACTTGCTGTGTCTGGTTGTCAGCAGCCCCTGTAAATAATCAAGAAATAGAAGCATTAAGTGGGATAAACACTGCAAAACATTTTAGTTCTCAGTTTCTTTTGTAACAGCAGCAGCAAAACCCATTCAAATTTCTTTTGGGAATAACCATCAAAAATAAAATTAAAAAAAAGATTCATAGACTGTTGTAGACTACCATTTTACTACATCAGAATGGACAGAGAGCGTATCTGTTGAAAAATGTAAAGCTCTTTTTAAATGTAAATGTGTAAGTCCCTGTATAAAAGCTTGGTAGAAAGGCAGTAACAGAACTACTCGGCTTTGTGGCTTTCCATATTCACTCAATTTAACTCAGAAGAGTTCAAGTTATTAGGGAAAAAACACCTATACTCTCTGGGTGAAATTAATGTGAAACTGTGGTATTCTTCTACAGAACTGCGCACAGATGTTGTGACAATCAACAGGGGCCATGCATCTCTGAACAGTCTGACGGAGAGAGGGATGAGTCAAGTAAAGAGCCATTGGATTCATTCTTATGTAAATACTGGTACAGGCAGCTCTTCCAGCCAGTACATTGCACGAGCAGGCAGAGAGGTAATAGAGTTTGCCTCCATAGCATGTGCTCAGAGTCTTGCACAAAGCCACCTGGTTTATGTATTGTGCTGGAAGTGGTGAAATTTACCGTTTGGGTTCCAATTATCCAATATTATCACAATGAGCTGCATTAATTGCATCCAACTAAGTGATGCATGCAAATAATAAAAAATGCAAACTTCACATGGATGGGGAATTAGAGCATGTGGATCTAATAATTCCAAGAAGTTTATGGGCTGATACCAGAGCTAAATTTGGCCCTACAATTTTGTAAAATGTGCATTGGCATCTAACATAGAGGTGTCTCAGGAATACAAAGCCTTGTCAAGGGAAAAAATTAGTCTGTATAAATAAGAGCAAACAAGTGACTGATGAATAGGCTGACAGACCAATTCCCAAAAGGCAGAGCCATAAGATTAATTTTATGTTTATGCACAATTTGCAGCTGTCAGTGGATTAGAGAGGTGACATGAAAGAAACAGAATGTTTGAACTAGTTCATGACTACTGCCAAGTGCTTCTATGTAAAAGAGCTTCAAAAGAGAACTGTGAGACCAACAGAGACCTCACACACTTAAAGGTTAATGATAAAGAGTTAGGGGGAAAATGTACATTTCCCAAAGATGAAAAAAGAATATTGCTGATGTTTACAAGCGTAATTATCACAACATTTTGAGATAATCATTAAGTGCCTGAGATGCCAAGGCATCTGAGCTGCTGACTCCCTTGCTTCTGTGACACAAGTGACATGAAAACCATAGGGCCAGACTGTACTTGGCCAAGGATGCCACGGCAGAGTGGAAAACATCTCCCCTGCTGCAGCATCCTCAGCTGTGGCCAGGCACAATTGCAGTTTCTGCAAGAGCAGACTGAGCGCTCCTTCCCTGCATGCCAGGGGGTTTAGAGGCTAGCAATCCAAGAATAATGGGGACCATATTGCAGCAATGAATGAACTTTCACTGAATGTCATGTTTCCTTTTCTGGAGGGAAATATATTTATCAATAGCAGCTGCACTCTTTTATTGGAGTCTTACAAGCATTTTTAATGTTCAGCGCCTTTGCAGTTCATCTTAATTTTCTTTTTTTAATAATTAATTTTAAAAAATCCCCTTCACATTTTTCATACTGAATCACTATCCTTCCCTCCTTTGAATTAATAAATAATTATTTAAAAGGATAATTTATACATAGCAGAACATACCCCAAAAATGGGTGTACCGCATATTAAGCCCTTGGCAGTTACGCAGTAACTAAGGCTTTGTTCAGATTGGGTAATTGCCCTGATTTGAGTAGTCAGTGGGCAGTCACCAATATAGCTGCACTGGAGCAGTGATTCCTCCCCAGTCCCGAGTATAAACAGGAAAGCCACACATTGTATCAGTGGAGCTGACCTCTGCTTGAAGCCAGGGTAAGTTGCACCAGTACAAATTGTGGCTCTCATTGTCTACACCTGGCGTTTGCTCTAAGGTAGCTAAACAAATGGCTGAAATCAAGGCTAATTCCAAGTATAGATGAGGCCTCATATCATCCCTTCAGTGTTAAAACTCACAGGAGATGGTTAAGTGGGATTAAAACTCTGCATGGTTCTCCTCACAGAGTTTCGCCCACGTTGTTCTGGGGGAGAGGAGTCAGTTGCTCCATTCCTCACTGAATGAAACGAAGTTCATCACCAAGCCCTGTAAATCCCCGAAGTATACAAAGAAGGTCAGGGCCTTTCACTTGGAGGCGTTGTACTCCATGCCAACTACTGGACCCTGGGGCCCCCCCTTCACTCTCTGGAAGCATGACTCTACAGGAACTTCACTATCAAGGCCTCCACTGCCCAGGGCTTTCCCCAAACACCTCTTAAAGCGGGTTTCATGCTGTGGATGGTGTCGTGGAAAATGTAGGTATGGGAAATTTTTCAGGGCTGGTAAGAGGGATGAGATTTGTCCTCATGGCCCCACCACTGGATACCGCTATCCAGTATGGACCTGCTCAGTCCCCAGAAGGATCCTGCCACCATGGAACACCCTTCTTGAGGTGCTGTATAGAGGGAGATTGTGCCTCAGGAGGGGTGATATCCATGCATGAAGGGGCTTCTTGGCAGGTGGATATTAGACGCACAGTCAGCCTTACCTGCTGGCTTCTGGCAGATACCCAAAAAATGCTTCTCAGCACAAGGCAAGAAATTCCATGTTCCAACATATGAAGATTTGGGGTTGTTGAGCATTACGCCACACTGGTTGTTTATCTCCCCATCAAACATCTGAAAACCAGAAAACTCATCAAGTTCATGTATGATACACGCATTCTTGTGTGAAGAGCGCGAATGAAGGTCAAGTTAGGAGAATATATTTCTCTTAGTATGTGCAGAGCAGTAGAACAACACACAGCTAGTTTATTTTGCAATGTTACCTAGTTGCTGAATTGTTTGTTTGTGAAAAAAATTACCTGGACCCACTATACTCTTTAAAAATTCTTGTTAATCAATGGCATTCCATTAGGTTTCTTATGCTGCTCCATGAACAGCGCAGCCAGGAAAACTGTCAAGGTTCCTCCCCCACTCTGAACGCTAAGGTACAGATGTGGGGACCTGCATGAAAACCTCCTAAGCTTATCTTTACCAGCTTAGGTCAAAACTTCCCCAAGGTACAAAATATTCCACCCTTTGTCCTTGGATTGGCCGCTACCACCACCAAAGAAATACTGGTTACTGGGGAAGAGCTGTTTGGAAACGTCTTTCCCCCCAATACTTCCCAAAACCTTGCACCCCACTTCCTGGACAAGGTTTGGTAAAAAGCCTCACCAATTTGCCTAGGTGACTACAGGCCCAGACCCTTGGATCTTAAGAACAATGAACAATCCTCCCAACACTTGCACCCTCCCCTTTCCTGGGAAATGTTGGATAAAAAACCTCACCAATTTGCATAGGTGACCTCAGACCCAAACCCTTGGATCTGAGAACAATGAAAAAGCATTCAGTTTTCTTACAAGAAGACTTTTAATAGAAATAGGAGTAAATAGAAGTAAAGAAATCCCCTCTGTAAAATCAGGATGGTAGATACCTTACAGGGTAATTAGATTCAAAACATAGAGAATCCCTCTAGGCAAACCCTTAAGTTACAAAAAAGATACACAGACAGAAATAGTTATTCTATTCAGCACAATTCTTTTCTCAGCCATTTAAAGAAATCATAATCTAACACATACCTAGCTAGATTACTTACTAAAAGTTCTAAGACTCCATTCCTGGTCTATCCCGGACAAAAGCAGCATATAGACAGACAGAGACCCTTTGTTTCCCTCCCTCCTCCCAGCTTTTGAAAGTATCTTGTCTCCTCATTGGTCATTTTAGTCAGGTGTCAGCAAGGTTACCTTTAGCTTCTTAACCCTTTACAGGTGAGAGGAGTTTTCCTCTGGCCAGGAGGGATTTTAAAGGGGTTTACCCTTCCCTTTATATTTATGACAAAAACAATGATGTATAATGGTTTATGGATGTATTCTGCACATAACTGAACCAAAAACTATATAGTAACATCCCTCTGCTGCCTACATTTTTATGGAACGTGGCACTTCAGCTACATATTGGATATGCAGAGACTAAAGAGATTTCAATTTTTACATCCCTTTCCATCTTAATGATTAATTAGTGTTCAAAACATCTCATCCAAATAAAGATACGAAGAGCTCAGTCACTACTGGTCACGATGTCTGCCAATTAAGAATACAATTTCTTGGTTTGGGTCCTTTACATTTTTTTTTCTCTTTTGTTATTTTGATACAGTTACCAAAACACCAACATTCTATACTTTTTATAGGACAAAAGATCACCCGGATTTGTATATTCAAATGAATAACTTACATCAAGTGGAATCTTTCTTAGCGTTCCTCTCAGCAATGGGTGAAAGTTACCGTACAGCAGTCTACTGCCATCTACCCATTTGTTTTCCCTTGTGCTGAAAAAAAACTTCAAACCAATCCAAATGTTTTCTTCCAAACCAGGAAGCAAGGATGTTAAAAAATCTGTTGGGCAGAAAAATAAATATTTACATACTATGATTTAGAAAACCACAGTAAACATTTGAAAAGCAGCTTGCATAAAATAAGATAGTACAACCCCCATCTACATTACTTCATTTCCCACCGTAGTCCTTGAAAGTGCAATAAAGCCATTTTAATAGAGTATTAAGTGTTTTGCAATTTTATCATTCCATCCTTTCCATATCCAACAAGGACATTATTTAAAAAAATCATTTGAAAGGATTAGCATTCTAACAGGCTAAGGTCTAACTGAGGGCCAGGAGATGAGTTTAACTTGTTTCTGTCTCTCTCCTCCTCTCCCTCCCTGACATCAACCCTATCTCCTTGCGTCTCTACCCAAATTTCAGACGGTGCCTCCCTACTGTTCTGTAAGACCTTCTATTGACTCCCCACAGAAGCATCAAAAGTGGGCTCCATGCCCTCTTTGAGGGCATGGACAGTCTCACTTGCTTCCCACACACCTCGCTCTCTGACTGGGCATGCCTCTAAAACAGAACCACTTACTGAATATGTGTCTGACTTACTCAACCAAGAAACAGAGAAAGTCAGGATAGAGGGAGAGGATCAGTTCCAACTGAGAAAGGCTCTACTCAGGAATCCCAAACCAGCCACTCTTTGTTCTCTATGGCAACGCCCACTATTGGGTGAGGTTACCGGTCCTTAATGTGTGGCAGGGCTTGCCAGGGCTGAGCCCCAGCACCTCTAGGTTTGGCAGTTCAGAGCCCCGACACCTCTGGGCTTGCCACGTCAGTTATGAATGTAAAATAATTGCTTGAGCCCCAGCACCTCTTTCATTACAAATTAAGCACTGAATGTTAGTTTAGACATTTAGAACTATCTACCTGCTATATGTTAGGAAAGAGATTGAGACTAGCTTGGAGTTAGCTACCTGCTATATGTTAGCTAGCTCCAGGTTAGTCCCAAACTCTTTTCCTAAACTAGACAAACCTATTAAAGGTTAAAACCTCTCAGGATTTGTCACTATCTGATAGCCAGCTACAGAAAGGGCCACAGTACATGAGGGAGGGAGGGAAGGCTGGCAGGAAGAGGTGGTTACCTAAATTGTGGCAGAGCTGTCTTTCTCCACCACAGCTTTGCCATTGCACTAACTTGCCTGGCAGAAATCTGTTATCAGGACTAATTTATTATGCTAAATATCAATCAATTGAAATGAACTTCCATTTACACAATCATGTTAAGAAATGTTTGAAGCAGAATAGGCTTTTCTAGGGCTAAAAGAGTTCTGAATTGCTCCAGTCTCAGTCACTTGAGTTCCAGTGTGGGTCCATCCCAATACCCAATGCTGAGACAGAGCAGAAAACTGCTCTTCCACTGCGCACTGTTAACTACTGAAGTGATCTGCTTGGTCTACTTTCTGTATTCCACTGCACTGAATTGAGTTGGCTGGAGGTCACTTACCTATAAAAATAATGCTACATATAATACGGAGATCTGTTGTGAGCTACTTCTTCAGACATATCTGTAGGCAACTACCCGCCCACTACACAAATACAAATGTATTAACAGATGTCTCTCTCAACAGATAGGTAGTCAGACACATCTGTAGAGAGCCATTTGCAGCAAATGTCTTCTCTTCACTGCATTCATCTCAATGAGGTTTTAACATATGAAGTAAAGTTTGGGAACTGCTTCAGACACAGCCCCTCCACTCGTCATAAATCTCTGGTAGTCTTTACAATTTCCAATTCCTTTCATATGCAAGGGTAGGAAAAGAAACTGGTCTTTGAACTGGTTCTTTTCCTTTTTCCATGGTTTGCCCATTGTGTGTGCATTTCCCATTCTGTGGCAGACAGAATTCCTCTGACACAGGGCAAATAATTAAAGGCATTAGTTATAGGTATTTATTTTATTGTGAATTTTTAGAATTATTTCAGTAAGACTCAAAGTAACTGAATGATTTTACAATCAGATTAACACTGCCACATAATTCCTAGTCTGCTGCACGATTCTGTGCAGTTCTGCTGCATAGACTGGGGAAGGTGCTTGACATATTATTTTGGTCTAAAGTGCTACATAGTATAAAGAGCCTTGAATTTATCATCATACCTTGTTCAGCTTGGCTTGAGATTGATGGAAGAGTGCCTCCAAAAGTTTCACATACTTCATTGGCATCTTTAAATTTTAAAAATCTGTGTTCTAGCTTTAGAAAACACTGCAAAATAAAAATGGTAAAAGCTTATGCAATGTAGCAGGAGTTCAGTTTCTCTTTAAGATTTATTGTATCTTAGTTGTAATTCATAAACCAATGACCCTAAAACCCTCACACCTCACTTATCTTGCTTTCTGTGAGAAAATATTAGAAATGCAATTATAGATAAATGCATTCAGGCTCTGATTCAGCAAGGTGCCTATAACAGGGTGACTGTCCCTTTAAGGATAGTAGGGTCAGTCAACCCTGTTTTCCTTTAAGATTCCTAGGACTTTTGGAGCAGATGAAGGCCTACAGAAGGGCAGAGGCAGGTGTTGGGAGAGAGGAAGATGGTCCCAGAGACGTAGTTAATGCTTGGGGGAAACCAAGGCTACTGTTTCTTTAAAGGCCCAGAAGCCTTGTAGTGCAGGGTGGGACAAGGCTCCCCTCTCTCCCAGCTAAGTGGGAGGAGCCTGGAGAAGGAGAACAGCATATAGCTGCCTCCCCTTTCACAAGAGGGCAAGGATTGCCATCTGCTAATCTCTCTCAGCCCAGGGAGAAAAAGAGCTGAACTACAAAGTGGGGGAGGCAGCTGGGAAAGAACCTGGTTTTAAGGCATCAGCTATCCTGAATTAATGCAGATCCCAAGAACAAGGGCTTTTGTACCCATGAGCCCAGGAGAAGGAACCTGATAGAGATGCAAACATTGAGAAGGAGAGCTGTGGGACACCTGAAAGAAGAAGAGGGGTTGGGGCTGAGGGCTACCGAGTCCTCTGCAAAGGAGGGATCTGGTTTAAACACTCTGGACTGAAAGTGAGGCTTAGTCTATGCTACAAAGTTAGGTTGACATAATGCAGCTAATGATGATTGTCCTATATTCCCCTTTTACCTTGTTCTGAAACAGAATCCATTCTTTAGGGCATCCACCTTTAGGGGGGTGATATTCTGGCTCATGTTTCTCCAGTAAGGATGCATTAGATTTTTCACATATGAAGGGCAGTTTCAGATTGCAGTTTATTGAATAGTCTGTAGGAAATATAAATAAAGTCATTATCTGCATTATGGTAATGACTATGATGTGCTAGGTACTACCTACACTTGTGGGAAGAGACAGTCCTATGTAACTATAACATACAGCTGCAAATTATGCAAAGTAAAGTATTTTAAAATGACAGTAGAACAAAGCATAAAAAATTAAATGATTGTATGAGAAAATATCGTATTGATAATAAAGGACCAGATTTGATAACCTTACTCACTTTAAGTAGCACCTTACTCTACAAGTGGTATCACTGACTTCAGTGGAGAAGTGTGGAATAAAGTCATATTCACTGTAAGTGTGGGTATCAGAATCTGTCCCACAGGGCTTGATGTAATGCTTGACTTCAATGGGCATTGGGTCAAGCCCATAATACCATAACTTCAAAAATAAGTGGACAAGGTCCCTGTTGAGGAGAATTTACCATCTAACAGAGACCAAAACAGGCTAACATTGGTAAGGAGACCAGCATATAAAGGATTTGTGGAAGAAATGAGCATTAGGGTGGATAGAAAGATGGAGAGGGATGACTATTGGTTGACAAGGGTTCATAAGCTGTTCCAGGTATAGGGTGAAGCTGAGAATAAAAAAATTAAAATTTCAAATACAGTTTAATCAGCACATCAGTTATTTTATTCACCTGTTTCTGTCCAACCATTAGTCAGATTCACATCAGAAGTGCATGGCATGGCAATTTTGTAACCCCCATTTGTCTCAGGCCTGCCTCATGTCCTCAAGACATGCTGCCCCCAGACTCAGCCACTTGGAAGAAATGAAATGCCCCAAAACAATCTAGATCATGATGAAAAAGTAATTTGCTTCTGGATCTTGTATTCAATATTGCATTCTGGACAGAGCTAATATTTTTTATAATAAAGGAACAACCTTACCTTTATACCAGCTCCTCGAAGAAATATACCAACAATCCCTCCAGAATCGATCATAGAAACGTGGAAAAAACTGTAAACTAGATACAAACATTTCAGAGTCAATCCCTGACAAAAAGATGCTCTTTTAGGGGAAAATCCTGGGCATGGCAGCAGAACTAGCATGCCTCTGCTGCTTGGAAGAGAGAAAATGGCAAGGGCTTACACTTATAAAGGGGTTGCCTGTGCCCTAATGTGCAGGAGGTTTAGGGAGAGGGCTAGTGTAGGGGAAAGTGGGCGGTAGGGTCAGCAGATCTGTAGTGATTAGTGTAGTCATGGATCTACTGACCAAATCAACCCTGCAGAGAAGGTAAACAACAGGAGCTTTGCCTGCCTACTCAGGCTGTACACTAAGGAACTGTCTAACTGTTTCTTTAGGTAAGCTGTTGCCAACAGGAGAGTGGGTTTGTTGGGGGTGGGGGTGGGGAGAAAACCTGGATTTGTGCTGGAAATGGCCCACCTTGATTATCATACACATTGTAAGGAGAGTGATCACTTTAGATAAGCTATTACCAGCAGGAGAGTGGGGTGGGGGGAGAGAAAACCTTTTGTAGTGATAAACACCCATTTTTTCATGGTTTGTGTGTATAAAAACATCTTCTGTATTTTCCACAGTATGCATCCGATGAAGTGAGCAGTAGCTCATGAAAGCTTATGCTCAAATAAATTGGTTAGTCTCTAAGGTGCCACAAGTCCTCCTTTTCTTTTTGCGAATACAGACTAACACAGCTGTTACTCTGAAACCTGTCTAACTGTCTGTCCCTACTGCAACCCCTCCTACATTATCATGCACCGCAAGGATAACAAACTATAGATTCTACATTCTTCTGTTCTAAAAGTATTCTTTTTTAAATGTAGCATTTTGCTACTTACACATCCTAAGATTTTCTTGGACAGGAAGGCCCTGTTCTTTAGCTGCAGCTGATGAGCACACAATGCAACTCAGGAGAATTGTAAAAAGGTTGCTGTAAGACATCTCTGCATTTCCCTGATCCTGGATCAACCCTGTGCCAGGCTATGCCATAAACTAGAAGCAGCCTGAAGGCTGCTCTAAATTACACTGCCTGCCAATGGCACCAAGGACCAGTGATCCCAAAGGCATAAAGAAGCCCGGGGAACTCTCAAGCCAGCCACAGGGAGGAGTGGTGGTGTAGGAGCCTTATCCTGGTTTTACAACATCAAAGGATCCCCTAACCTAGGGTTATCTTCCTGTGGCTGGCCATGGCAGAAAGCAGAGACGAGGACAAAGGATGACTTATCCAATTTCATATGCTCTATATGTAAATATTTTGTTCCTGGTTTTTAACTTACAAGATGAATGTTTTTGGTTTTGTTGTTTTCTTAAATGGAAGAGTAAAATAATGTAAAAACCTCCAATCCTGTTTCAGCACTCAAGTCATTAATGGGCTACATGGGCAGGCTTAAAAATCACAAATAAAAACATCTGAAATAGGAACCGGAAAGTGTTAACTGTTAGAACCAGGGTTCAAGCATTCAGGGCTTCTAATGATACCACTAACATATTAAGTCCATGGCCATTCAAAGACTTATGCCTGTGCAGAAGTCTTTGGGGACAATGTCTGCAAAGCACTTTGAAGATGTGAAGCCTCTATAGGTTGTCCAAGTTTTGGACCCATACAATAGTGTTGGGAGAATAACGGCTTGATAAACAAGGAGCTTGGTGTCTGTTTGAATGTCGTGATCTTCAAAAACCGTGTGCCCTAAACAAGGAAAAGCTACACTGGCTCAGCTCCGGCGATGTTGAATTTCTGCATCAATATCTGCCTTGGATGAAATATGACTTCCAAGGTAGAAAGAAAAGGAGGACTTGTGGCACCTTAGAGACTAACCAATTTATCTGAGCATAAGCTTTCATGAGCTACAGCTCACTTCATCAGATGCATTCAGTGGAAAATACCAAGGTAGAGGAAATGATCGACATTCTCCAGTGCCACTCCATTGATTTTGACAGATGGGGCATGTAATACCTCATTTGGAGAGGGCTGATAGAGCACTTTAGTCTTCTTGATATTAAGAGTGAGACCAAGACATGCATAAGCACTGACAAACACATTCAAGAAAGTTTGAAGATCTTTCTCAGAGTGGGCAAAGATTGCGTTGTCATCAGCATACTGAAGTTCCACAATAGATGTTGCATAGATCTTTACTCTTGGCTTTCAGCTTGCTTAGCCTGAACAGCTTTCCATCCATTCTGTAAGTGATTTCAATGCCAGCTGTAAACTTCCCAGCAACTAGGTAAAGAATGACGGTGTTAAAAACCACAAACATGGTTGGAGAGATGATACAGCCTTGTTTTACTCCTGTTTGTACTTTGAAAGGTTCACTCTTGGGACCAGTGCTGCTCAGAACAGTTGCTTTCATGTTATCATGAAGCAATTTTAGGACACTGATGTATTTATCAGGACATCCAACCTTAGAGAGTACAGTCCAGAGGGCATGGCGATTCACTGAATCAAAGGCTTTAGTTAAATCAATAAAAGCCACGTACAGTGGTTGGTTTTGCTCCCGACACTTTTCTTGCAGCTGCCGTGCTGTGAAGATCATATCCACAGTTCCACGGCATGGTCGGAAACCACTCTGTGACTCCTGTAAAATTTCTTCTGACACGGGCAGAAGGCAAGTTGCAAGGATCTGCGCCAGAACTTTGCATGCAATGGCTAGGAGGGAGATACCACGATAATTTCCACAATCGCTTTATCCCCTTTCTTGAAGTGGGTGACAATCAGGGCATCCCTCATTTCACTGGGTATCTCCTCCTTTATCCAGATCTTAAGGATAAGCAGGTAAAGCTGCTGAATTAGCTCTGGTCCACCGCCTTTAAAGATTTCAGTGGGGATCCCATCTAGACCTGCTGCCTTGTTGTTCTTTATCTGCTTGGTGGCATTGTATACCTCATACAAATTAGGAGGGTCTCCGAGCTCATCTTTAAATGGTCATTGAGGGATTTGCTCAAGGACTTCATCTGCAACTACAGAATAACGGATAAGGAGATCTTCACAATGTTCTTTCCAGCGAGAATTGATGGCTTCATTGTCCTTCAGAAGTGTGGTTCCATCCTTAGAGAGAAGAGGATTCATACCAATGGCAAATTGGCCCATAAACAGCCTTGGTGGCACTAAAGAAATCACATTATTGTGGATATCCGCGAGATGTTGGAGTTCTTGCGTTTTCTCAGTCCACCATTTGTTCTTGAGTTCTCTGGTTTTACGTTGGACTTCCACCTTCGCCTTGGCATGGGCTTCTCTCTTTATATTACAATTTATGTCATTCTGCCAAGCATGAAAAGCCATTCTCTTCTCATTAATGAGTTGCTCAATTTCAGCATCATTCTCATCAAACCAGTCCTGATGTTTTCTGGTTTGGTAGCCTATGGTTTCCTTGAAGGCATTGATGATTACTGCTTTCAAATGGCTCCAGTGTTCCTAAATTTCTTCTGGAAACGCTGATGGGAGCTTTTCTTCTAAGACTGCTTGGAAGTGGTCATGCTAATAGGGTCCTTCAAATCTTGAATCTTCAACTTGTGCCTGACCTGTTTCTTTTGCAGCCTCCACATTGTGGATAGAATAAGGTGATGATCAGTCCAAAAGTCATCAGCACTTGTCATTGCTCTTGTGAGAAGTACGTCACTATGATCTCGGGCACGAACTATAACGTAGTCACGGACATGCCAATGCTTTCACTGTGGATGTCTCCAAGATGTTTTGAACTTTTCCTTTTGTCGGAAGAGTGTGTTCGTAATAATAAGTTCATGTTTAGCACACTTGGTCAGAAGCAGAATTCCATTTGAATTGCTTTTGCCAACTCCTTCTTTCCTGATTGTTCCCTTCCACAGGTCTGCGTCTCGTCCCACACATGCATTGAAATCCCCCAGAAGTATGATCTTGTCTTCTGTAGGGGTCTCTGATAAAATGGTTTCCAACTGAGAATAAAAACCTTCCTTTACATTCTCATCAGCATCTAGTGTTGGTGCATAGGCACTCAAAATAGTTGCCTGTTGATTTTTTGCAAGCCTCAATCGGAGTGTCATAAACCGCTCATTGATGCCAACAGGTACCTCAGAGAGGCACCTTACGAGCTTATTCTTTATAGCAAAGCCCACTCCAGGCAATCAGGGTTCATCTATAGATTTCCCCTTCCAGAAATAGGTGTATCCTCCTTTCTCCTCCCTCACCTGTCCTTCATCAGCTCTTCTAGTTTTGGACAAAGCAGCAATATCGATGTCAAACCGACTCAATTAATGAGCAATAATGGTTGTACTTTGCTCTGGTCGGTTGCTGTTTGAGTTGTCCATCAGGGTATGTACGTTCCAAATTCCCAAGTTGAAGAGTTTCTTACATTTTTGACCGCTGGGGTGGTGATCCTGATGGATGCAGCTATCCAGCAAGGAAAAACAGAGGCAAGACTATTTTTAGGGTACCTTTTCTAACCCCCTACCCAAGTGGGGTGAGCAGAGTGGATCCTAAAAAGGATTGCTCAGTCGTGAATGCAGCTGCCAAGATATTTGACCCGCCTCAATCCTCAAGCAAGCAAGAAAACTGTATCACACACCCACCGCCTGTGTGTCAGTCTGTAACTAGGAATTTCCTGATTTCACTGTCCTGTTCCCGTCACCACTTGCCGATCGCCACCAGACTTTTGACTTGTGCAAATGTTATTTTTTCCCAAAAACTGGAAGATGCCTGTGCGGGACTTCTTTTAAAGTGGGGACACTGGTGCACAACAGTCACCACACTATCCTTGACAGAAAGAGAACTTGAAACCAATGGCATGGGCACCGTGACGATTGGAGATCCTCTATTTGTTGCAGCCTTCATCCACCTTCGCAGTAGTTGTAACATTACACAATAGTTTCACCTCCATTGTGCAGTTATTCTCCGTCTGTTCTGCTGTTAGGGACTTCTTGAATCCTCATATATGAAGCCTCATATAAGAGCTAAGTGTTATTATTACTGATTTAGGTGTTAGAGATGTTGCTATTCTTTGTAGCGGGAACAGCACTCTGACAATATTCCTGCTTGAATTAGCTGCTAAGTCCTTAGTTCAAGTATTAAGTCTACACATATATTCTGTTGATTATTTATTATACTCAAGATCCCCAGTATCCTAAATTCTTTACCAAAAGAAATAAAGACTCCGTCAGTGCTCCAGACTTTAAATTTGACCTGGCAAGGAAAAGTGCAGGCCACGTGTAGATAAAAAAAGGGGGAAGACAAGAGAAAGGAAAAAAGAGTGTATATAAAGTCTGCTGCAGTTTCCACGGTAAACATCTGATGAAGTGAGCTGTAGCTCACGAAAGCTCATGCTCAAATAAATTGGTTAGTCTCTAAGGTGCCACAAGTACTCCTTTTCTTTTTGCGAATTATCAGATAATGTGGTTTTGTTAACAAGGTCTTTCAAAGAATTATTTATGCTTTTCGTAGATGACCTGTCAGAAGTGAGCTTTGTTAACAACTTGGGATCATTCAATAGTCATTTAAAAAAATCACTTATTTCACTAAATTTTTCCCCATACAAGAAATGTCAACAAAAGTTTATAATAATGTTGCCTGCAAATAGAGTACATACGGTGAATGATGGTTAGTTCCATGATCCATGGATTTCAGCCACCACTTCTGTTCTGCACCTGACAACTGCAAAAATAAAAAAACAAACAAAAAATATAAACAACTAGATTTTACCACCATGTATAATGTAATATCCCAAGATAGACCACTGGCCTTCATCCACCCTCATGGCAAAATTCCTTTTGATGTAAATGGTTTAACAGAAGCAGGACTGGAACTTACAAGTAATATTCTTGTAAATGATTCAAAAATTCAAGTGACTAACTTCTTGGTCTTGGCTATAGACTATGCCCTGGGAATTCTCAAATTCTAGTTCATAAAGGGGGCATTATCAGGTCAGATATTTTAATATCTCAAATCTATTTCTAATAGTTCTTTATTATTAAAACCAATACTACATTCAAATATATTTTCCCACTGCTTATTATATTTTGAATGTTTACATTTCACTCAGTTGGGATCATAAAATCAGGTTAGTCAGTTTCAACATTGGGTTCTCATGTGCTAATACACAGGGGTTCTCCAATTTTTTTCATAGTAGGTCACATCTTAATAGTGATATTAATGACATTTTCACATCTTGTGCATCCTATCCTTCATAAAAGCATGTACCATCTATTCTCCCATTCAAGATCATATAATATCTTTGTGGCAACTACAGCAATTACTTAGATAGAAAAGTAATATAAGGACAGATTTTATGTATTTGCAGCTGTCTTTAGTGCGATAAGTTTCTTGACCTTTTTGACAAAGATAATCTTACTGCCTTACGTACTTCATTTTGGGATGGATCTTCTGGCCCAGCCAAGTAGCATTCAGTGCAGGATGACGGGGAGGAATCAAGGGTGGTTTTAAGACACCCAGAGAACACCCAGAGAAAAGGAGGGGAAAAAAGCAGTGCACTGAGCCTGAGGATCCGGCCCTTAATCTTTTCCTCCCATCTACACAGTTTCTCTCACCTGGAAACAAGGGTGAGAGCTAGCTCTCTGTGGACCAATAGAAAGTGCTCTTTGGACCATCAAAATCCCCTTGACAAGTAAGGGAACCTCTGTGCCAGCACAATGAAGTAATATTTGCATTGCAAAGAGCACTGAAGAAAATTTAAAATAAAGAATAAAATGGTTTTAATTGAAATGAAAGTACAATACTATAATGAAAACTTTCTTAGGGGCCAGATCATACCCTTAGGATACATGCAGTGATAGGACACCTCTGTGCATAGAGCTATCCTTCCACACATAGAAGGTAAAGAGAACTACTCTCTCTTTCACCCAGGCTGTGAGGAAGCCTTTCTGTGGGTTGCGGGGGGGGGGGGGTGGAATGAGGCGGGCTGAATTGATGTGCCTCTTCTCCCACCACTGCACAGAGAAACAGAGCCCCCTCTGCTATGGTAAACATCTTTAAAAAGGGGTTCCAGGCAGTATCCCTAACAACTCCAGTGGAGTCACACTGCCAGGCAGAGACCACGCATAACTCTTGATGGTGAGGGGAGGGCACAATTTAAAGGTGTGTGGGGCACATAATCTTGAAGGTGGGGGGCACATGATCACCCCATGTGTCACCTCTGGGCTGAGGAGCAGCAGCAGAGCCAGGAGCACTAGGGTAATGGTGAGCAAGCACCTCAGGGAGCATCTCATGGTAGCCGGGCTCTGCAGACAGGGGACAGCTCCAGGGTGCACTGCCAGCTGACACCAGGCTCCTTCGGGTGCAGCCCAGGCTGTGCTGCCTGCCCTGCCTGGGGAGCACCCAGCTGTGCAGAGGTGGCGGAGGTGGCCTGACGGAGGTGGCCAGTGTGGAGAGACAGGCGCCCAAGTGGGCTGGGCGACTTCCACCAGCTTCTGATCTGCCAGTTCCTGGCAGGAGGACAGTTTTCAAACTGTGGGGCGTGCCCAGAGTTCAAAACACTCTGTGCTAAATGGAAGGCAGAAATGGGGGGATGGGGGGGGACATGACCCCATGTGCCCCTGCTCTCACACATCGCCTCTGCTGCCAGAGAACCAGAGCACAGCTGCAAGGTACCCAAAGTTGGTGAAGTCATAGAACCTTCTTGTGGATGACCCTGTGTCTCCAGAAGATCCTCCAAAACCATGTGGACCATGAAGGATCTGCAAAATTGGAGGGTAGGACTCACGAGTTTTTCTTCCTGGGGGCAAATCCCATCTTAATCCTAATGGAACAATTCTAAGGAAACTCCATGAGGGGACCCTGTTAACTTCCAATAAATAAAGAGTGATGTGATGTCTCAATGACACTGAAAAAAGGCAGTAACTGAGGTATGTCACCCTGAAGTCTTTTTTTAAAAATGATTCCCACAGAACAGCTAATTTCCTGATTACATAAACTATACTCTCTGCCCTACAGAGACTGATCACATCTGTCTATTGCTGGTTTTTCATATACTCCTCTCATTCAGATAATGATGTGATGTCCCCGTGTTGGAACACACATATACAAAATGACTATACAGTGTTACACCTCTGGCTGAACCATGAACAATGGAATATTTATGGTAATCTTTTCATAACATCTCCTTGCTGTTTTGGAGCTTGTGTTCTGTTATTAAGATTATTTTAACAGGCTGTTTTAAATTTAAATGTTTAAATGCAGTTTTAAAGGAGATTAAAACAAAACTGATTATTTCCTCTTTCAAGTAAACTTTTCCTTTTGCAGGCATTTTAAAAACTATTATGGGTTATATGTCAGTGAAAAATTAAGAGAAAAAACATTAACATTCTTATATTGGAAACACTTGCAACAAAGACAATTTCTGAGGTACAATGTATTTCATTACCTTTTCTATTTTGGTTAGGAGTGCCCATAGTTTTGTATAAGAGTCCACAGATGCTAAGTCACTATCATTGTTTGCACAGTAGAGAGCAGCTTCTTGGTAGCTCAGGTTTTTATCTGGCACAAACCAAAATTCAGCTCCATCAATAACAAGTGGCGGTCCATGAATTCCATCCACATCTGGGGAAGAAAGCCACACATATACACATGGCATTAATCCTGAAAAATAATTACACTCAGAAAAGGAAAGGGCTGGACAATCTGGGCCTGATGCTGAGAGGAGCTGTATTTACATCTCCCACTGAAATCAATGAGAGCTGAGTGTGTTGGCTGTGTGTCAGCATGATTTTCACTAACATCAGAAAGGATATATACTGAGAAACACTAGACAAAAGTAACTGCAATGTATGCAAAAACTAAATCTGTTTACCTGGTATATACCACTCTGGTGTCTTTGGGGTACTACCTGTTCAGGAGAGAAAGAAACAATCACTGATCTTGCATTCCTGATACACGTACTTCACTGACCAATGAGAGCTTTGCATGCATCAGACTTAAAAGTTATTTTTTTCTCTTTATTAGAAATGTGTAAGCACCAAAGCTCACACTAATAATAATGCTAATTCTCCCCACACATAGGCACTAAGATTTGGCATTTTCACTGAAAATTTCCAACAAGTCAAGGAAAGTTTTGTGTCTCCAAAAGCTATTTTTCTGACCAACTACAATAATTACAAGAAGCCAAGCCTACTAGATGCTAAAACTTCTAACTCCTCACAAAAACAAGTGGATCTGTGCAGAACCCACATGCCATCCTTTCTCCACCCTCACCAGAGAATCCCTTTTCTGTGTATTTTGCTACTCTGGAGACCCAAGTCAAATATCTTACAAGGAGATTAGAGGCCAAATTCAAGTCTGGAGGAATTAGCTATCCATGGGATTTTCTTTTGTTTATAAATACTGCTTATACATTTTAAATAAAGCACATAAATGCTGGAACTCCATGATCTATATCTCCTCACCACACTAAGGTATTTACATTCCCCATGGCACGTTTCTCACTCCAAGGGAACTTAAGGGATAGAAGCAAAGTTGGACCATAGAGAAGTGACACAAGGTCCTTCCCCCAGTAATAGTTTATTTGTGAGTGTTTTGTATGTTTACATTTCTATGAACAGAAGCCTATGAGACATGCAAGGGATTTCAGCCCCTTGCCTTGTGTACTGTTATGGCCAGTTGGGTAGAGGATGTGGTAAAGTACTGGTTGCCAAATTTATTGCGCTCATATCCTTCTTTTCACCAAGTACGAAAAAAAAGACACCCAACAACCAAAAATTGTGATCACACAATTTTAGAGAATATAATCCCAGCTGTTACTCATACTTCAACCTTACACTTCCTATATCAAGCACCCTTTCAAGTTGATAATAAACAGCAGTCCCAGTGTGACAGCCTCTCTCTTCCTATATATTTAAAATACACAAAGTTCAAGTCTCGCTCTCACATTCTAAGGACTCCAGGTCTCAAGATTATTGTAATGCCTTCTGAGATGTTTGTTTTAAAGTCAGAGATCCTGGGTTTACTGTTAATGATGACAAAGTGAAAGAAGTAATTGAAGACATTTTAAACAAAAAACAGGTGAGTTTAGATGAATAAACGGATGTAAATGCAGCTTACCTTTTGTTATCTGGCAAACCCATTCAAGTCTAGCATCACACTGAAAAGGTTTTAAGTAAAAATCCAATTGTCTGTCGTCATGGAAATGAAGTCTCCAAAAATACCTCCGTGGTATTCGAGTGGTCTGCATAAAAGTAGGGGGTTCGGAAACTGTGTTGGTATACTAGATACAAACTTCTGGAGCAATAAAACTGTTTATAAGATACCTTAGATATCCATGATGACAGTCATCTACCCTGTTGCCAATCCTTTGTAATTTTAACTGAATTTTTTAAAATGATAAAATATAGGTACATCTTCAAAAATAATCTCTGAACAACTAGAAATTATGAAGCAATCAGTTTAAAATTTATCCATTCACAGAAATCTCTTCTTGCAGCTCACTACAATACTATGTTGGGTTTTTTTTGCAATCCACAGATTTTATCTGTGTTTATCATAGAGAAATATTCACTGCCCCTTAAAGGATTCTCACATCTGCCCCGAAGGGACAATAATCTGAATTGGCCCAGAAACATGATTCTTCTGAGTATAATCAAGATAAAAAAGCTCCATGTCACCTCCTGGTTTCTACAATAAAGATAATGTTGTTTCCTGTAGTCTGACAGCACAGGATCAGATTCTTGTAATTCTGAAAACAACGGTTACAAAAGCCACAATGCCCACTTCACACTTGTTTAGGGATAGTCTTTCTTATCATCCAAAAATGTATTAGCCTAATATTTTAGATGAGAGGTTCTCGGGCGAAAGGCCATGGCTCCTGGAGGTTGCAAATAAGGGCAAGAGGGTAGTGACCACCATCCCCTTCAATGAATACTAAATGAGAAGGGGTTCTGGCTAAATGGGAGGGCACGTCCCACCATGATCGCAAAACAGGAAACCAGGTAATTGTATGGAAAAGGTTGAGAAGTACTGTTTTAGCAGTCATACCATAAGGTTAGAGTTACATAGTAATGAGGCATTTATGAATATAATAGAACCACACCAGTCTGGATTATTGACTGGGAGGCCCATAATTACAGTATTTTGCCAAGTTGCTCTGTATGCTACATATTATGACAGTAGTATTTTAATAAAAGTAAAGAAGTGTTGGTGAAGGAAGCCCTCACTATATGTTGTTAGTAAATATTTACTCAGCAGTGGAGGTAAAACTGCTGTTTTTTGTGAAAATTAGCAGGTTTTTGAATTAACAAAAAGAAAAGTAGCATCTTTCTGATGTATACAGTTATAAATTTACAGCAGCAGACCACGTTTAATGTACAAAAAACTTAAAGGTATAAAGTAAATATACTGTAAATAAAAGTGTCACATATATTTTTATTATTATTATTAAAATCTTGCAACATACCTTTAAAGCAGCACAGTCTCTAATGTCATAGACATCTCTTTGGAAATCATGTGACATAACAGTAGTTTCCTACAGAAAGCGGAGGGATGGTAGAACTGTGATTTATTATTATTTGTATCGAAGTGGTGCCTAGGGGCCCCAGTCATGATTCGGTCCCTTTGTGTTGGGCACTGTCCTAATAGAATAAAAGGCGGTACCTGCCCCAAACAGCTTTCAATCTATGGCTCTGATTCTGCAAAGATATGTGTACATACAGTACTTAACTTTATACTAGGGCTGTCGATTAATCGCAGTTAATTGACGCGATTAACTCAAAAAAATTAATCACAATTAAAAAAATTAATCACAATTAATCACAGTTTTAATCGCATTGTTAAATAATAGAATACCAATTGAAAATTATTAAATATTTTTGGATTTTTTCTACATTTTCAAATATATTGATTTCAAATACAACACAGAATACAAAGTGTACACTGCTCACTTTATATTATTATTTTTGATTACAAATATTTTCACTGTAAAAATGATAAACATAAGAAATAGTATTTTCCAATTCATCTCATACAAGTACTGTCATGCAATCTCTTTATTGTGAAAGTGCAACTTACAAATGTAGATTTTTTTGTTACATAACTGCACTCAAAACCAAAACAATGCAAAACTTTAGAGCCTACAAGTCCACTCAGTCCTATGTCTCATTCAACCAGTCACTAAGACAAAAAAGTTTGTTTACATTTATGGGAGATAATGCTGCCCACTTCTTATTTACAATGTCACCAGAAAGTGAGAACAGGCATTCGCATGGCACTTTTGTAGCAAGCATTGCAAGGTATTTATGTGTCAGATATGCTAAACGTTCATATGCCCCTTCATGCTTCGGCCACCATTCCAGGGATATGCTTCCATGTTGATGAAGCTAGTTAAAAAAATAATACGTTAATTAAATTTGTGACTGAACTCCTTGGTGGAGAAATGTAGGTCTCCGGCTCTAGTTTACCTGCATTCTGCCATATATTTTGTGTTATAGTAGTCTCGGATGATGACTCAGCCTGTTATTCATTTTAAGAACACTTTCACTGCAGATTTGACAAAAACGCAAAGAAGGTACCAATGTGAGATTTCTAAAGATAGCTACAGGACTCAACCCAAGGTTTAAGAATCTGAAGTGCTGTCTAAAATATGAGAGGGACGAGATGTGGAGCATGCTTTCAGAAGTCTTAAAAGAGCAACACTCTGATGTGAAAACCACAGAACCTGAACCACCAAAAAAGAAAATCAACCTTCTGCTAGTGGCATCTGACTCAGATGATGAAAATGAACATGCATTGGTCTGCACTGCTTTGGATTGTTATCAAGCAGAACCCATCACCAGCATGAACGCATGTCCTCTGGAATGGTGGTTGAAGCATGAAGGAATATATGAATCTTTAGCACATCTGGCATGTAAATATCTTGCGATGCCAGCTACAACATTGCTATGACAACACCTGTTCTCATTTTCTGATGAAATTTTGAATAAGCATTATCTTCTGCAAATGTAAACAATCTTGTTTGTCTGAGCAATTGGCTGAACAAGAAATAGGACTGAGTAGACTTGTAGGTTCTAAAGTTTGATATTGTTTTATTTTTAATGCAGTTTTTTTATATAATTCTACATTTGTACATTCAACTTTCATGATAAAGAGACTGCACTACAGTACTTGTATGAAGTTAATTGAAAAATACTATTTCTTTTGTTTTTTACAGTGCAAATATTTGTAATAAAAATAAATATAAAATGAGCACTGTACACTTTGTATTCTGTGTTGTAATTGAAAATCAATATATTTGAAAATGTAGAAAACATCCAAAAATATTTAAATAAACGGTATTCTATTATTGTTTAACAGTGTGCTTAATCGCGATTAATTTTTTTAATCACACAATCACAATTAATTTTTAATTGATTGACAGCCCTACTTTAAACACATACACCAACTTGAAAGTGAGACAGACGTTTTCTGGAGAAGTCTGGACAAACCAAGGATATGAGGTTGAGAAACTGAAGTACATGTTGGGAAATAAAGATACCTTGTTCTGCCCAGCAGCATTTGGATCCTTATTACATTTAAATATTTTGACAGAAATACAGTATAAAGGCCGATTATTATTTTTGAGATTATTTTTAATTGACAAAGTCTCCTAAGTGCAAAGTTTTACATAAGCGTTTTTCTATATTCTTCATGTGCCATAGAATAAAATTAATCTAAAATATCAGTCACCTGATTATATTTTCAACCCAACCTAAATTCAAACAAATCTTAATATGATAATATTTTCTGGATAAAGATGAATGTAACTTACTGGATTATTATCACTCCACTGCCAGGTTCCTAGAGAATCTGGATTCCTCTTATTGAGTCCCACCCAGACCCATCGGTCATTACTGTAAATATACATAAAAGAGAAACCTCAAAGCGAGTGTATGTTCATTCTAGCACATTAAATAAAAAGACTAATGAGTCATTTTAAAAGCCTTCCTTTAAATACCAAACTTTTGAGACAAGTACAAAAATATAAGTATTGCGTCTAATTCTGCAAACCGTTCACTTTGTCTAGGAAGTCCAGTATGAATTACTAGTATTGTATCCCAGTTTAACCGGCCTCTGATAGTACGTATCAATTAAGGAAACCAATATTAATTTGGAGTCCCGTTACCTGGGATAGAGGATTTCCAGATCTAATATTTAAAGCAAAAGTAGCATAGATGAAACAAGCTAAGAGAAAGGGATTTGCGTTTTCTCTCTTCTCTTAAGTTCTGATTCAGCAAAGCACTTAGGCACATGTTTACTCCCCACCAACTTCAATGAACTTACAAATGCAGGGCTGTCTTTTTTATTTTTGTTTTTCATTTTTTAGGAGTGAGGTAATTAAAACTTAAAATTCTCAGCTCCATTTCAAGAGAAAGGTTGTCACTATAAAAGGGGATTTCAATGCATATACTCAAAACTGCAGTAATACCGTTGGCCTCTTTACTATTGATTAGGACTTTAAGGGCACTGTGACAGAATGGGAAATATCTGGGTCAGACTGTGAACTCCATTTGTATTGTAAGCTCTATTTTGGTTTAGGACATCCATTTTGTTCTATGTGCTGAACGCATGTCCAGCCTTGCCAAAGCAAGGTTATGAAGTGTTCTCGTCAGTTACGCTGCCTAGGGAACAGCACTTGATACCTTGATGACTTCTCAGAGATCATCCTTCAACAAGACAACAACCTAGGGCCACCGACTCTGATTGTCTCTAAACTACCAGTCCATTCCCATGAAAAAATGGATGATTTACACAGACCCTGGAGGGGGAAAAAGGGAAAAGCATCACAGTACAGCACGTGGCAAAAAGGAAGCGAGACTGTATTTAAGGAGTGCTTTTCTGGGAAAGGATCTGTCCATCGCCACATGCGAAAAGACTGGATTGGAGAGAGAGAGAGAGGAGGCAGGAGGGACTCTGCCTAGCCTGAAATGTTGACTAGACCATGGACTTACAGAAGAGATGAGCTCAAACTAGGCAAGGGAGCATCTCAGGACTTTTTAAAAATTTATTTGCAAAGATCTGTATCTCTTGAGTGCTTTTTAAGAGGAAAGTGATTGCGACTAAGAAATTATTTTGCTACGCCTGTGTTCCTTGCCTTACTGGCCTTGAAGGGGTTAATGTAGAAGCCAGAGTGCCCACAGCCGAGGTGGAACTCTCAGGGAGCAGAAGTAAACAGCTGGGGTTGGGAGATCTGAGGCACTGACTCCAGCGTCTGGGATGGCTGGATTGCTGAGTCCCATGTCCCAAGGAAGGGCTCAGACAAGAGGTATGAGTCTGAGAGTGTGCTCTAGAGACCCAGAGCTAGAAGCAGTGACTCAGCTCAGAAACATGTGGGACCTAGGCTAGAATTTGAGTCCATTTAAAATAGACTGGTGACTGTCTAGAAAAGAAGTGGGACAACCTGTAACAGGAATAACTAATTCGAATATAGTAAAGATACTAATTTCCAAGACCATCCATTTCTATTTGTCCTCCAATTCTTTTTACGGAAATTCTTGGTCATATTTTTATTTAATTTATAGACATACACCAAATCCTGTGTTGACTTACAATCCATGTAGCCTACTGAAGTCAGTGAGGGCACTTTGGGTGTTAAACCATCACAGATTCTGGCCTATAGATGCAGGTATTGTACAGAACGAGAGATTTTAAAATTCTACATTCTAGATCATCATTTAGGGCCAAATCTTGGCTCTTATTCCAGTGACCAGATCTTCTGGGTTTAAGTCTGCTTTGCCCTAGAGGAAATGGCACTTAATGCCCTGAAGAAGGAGAGCCAGCAATTCCACATAGATAGGGCTGATCCAAAATTCTCTGAAGTCAGTGGGAAGACTCCTATTGACTTCAGATCCAAAAGAGGTATTACTCATTTTGTTTACTGGGATTTTGATTAGTAGGATAGATGTTTTACTTAAAAAATAATCCTTTCATGGCAAACATTTTGCAATTAACCTTCTTCATATACCAGTGGAATATAAACTTACCATGTTCAATATTTTCTGCTCTTCTATAGTGATCGGAATGAAATTTGTACAAGCATAGACTCTAAAGAACTTAGAATGCCCTGTGTCAGTCCCCAGCAAACCACTCAGAAACAGGTATTTACATTTATCTAACAGCTGAATTGCTTCTGACATTCTGCTTTCAGGATTTTGTTCTTCTACAATTGTCCGTCCCTGCACAGTTAATCAAGCACCGCTTAACTCTCTCTCTCTGAGACACAACCCAAAGCTGAGAGTGGCATAAGGAATCACCACAGACACACATACCGACTAATGACCCTAAAACACTTATTTCAGAAGGATTTGCAATAATTACTTGAGGGAACAGAGCAATTTTCAAAATCTTTCAGCTTTGATGCTACCACCTATTTCTTAAACAGATGTCAGGTCAAGAGTTTCCCCGCTTTATTTCCCAATTTGTAATAAAGACTTTTATTGATTATGTAATAAAGACTTTTCAGCTGATGTGGCACTTATAATATTAATTCATAGTTTGGCTTCTTTGTGAGAGTTCAAATAAGTCATGAGACTTATTCAGCAATTGATCCACTATTTTTGATAGCACTCAGGCTCAAGTAAAGCCTTTTAGTACTCTAAGTTGAGTGCACTCGCACTTCACTATGAAGTAAATTTAGAAGGCATCCCATGCCAAAGTAACACTGGAATACAGCGGTTAATTAAGACTCCATCTGCACTGCAACTATGATAGCATCAGGGAACCTTGTTATAACACTGTAGTTCCCTGCTCCAGTTACAACATGGTTAAAAGTTGTATTGTAGATTGCACCTAAATATGTTCTAGTTTAAATCCTTGAGTAGTCTAGGTTTTGGGGTGGTTACAGTTAGATCATCACATAGTGTTGTACCACAGATGGAACCTAAAATGGATTCAATCTATGCTTTACCATGGACTCAAATTTGATTGAGTTTTGAGGATTGTAAATTTCCATCATCTGCTGTTTCCGTGCTGAAGGCTTTCCATTCAGATGAGGAGTACTCACACAGAATTAGAACTTGGTAAACGCTACGAAGTGTGGTATGGTCTTTTTTACTACTTGATGTAAATACTATATGGATCACTGACAATACTGCAACAGAGGTAGGCATTTTACACTTTTCAAAGATTGTTCTGAAAGGAAAAAAATTGTAACTCAGGAAATAAAAGTTCAAAATGCTTGAAAAGGGATTTTTTGTCCCTTAATCTTAGCCATATGTCAGCTCAGACACAGGATTCAAAGCATGAGTGATGTCACCTGTTAATTTAACCTATAACATAAGCTAGAAATTAAAAGACAGGGAAAAACTAACAAAAATGGCTATGGCCCTTTTGGGCCAGAGCCACAACTCTGTTACCTGAAAAAGTTTATGATCAGTTCTTAAAAGTTATTTCGGAACATGGTGACTTCCTCGGTTTAGATGGGGACTAATGGTACTACCTGGAAACTGTGGGTGTGTTTTGAGGTCTAGAGGCTCATATTTGGGTAGAAGTCTGGGAACACCTCATTTGGATGTATCTCTCCTCTTCCTGGGTGGAACGGTGCCAAAGGGGAAGGCAGAATCTAGTCCTTAGCCTCCATCATTCCACTGCATGGGTGCGTGCTCAAGCAGGGCTGGTGATAATGCTGATCAGCTAGGGGCCAAGGCTACCCTTTCTTACAAGACATTCTGAAATCTATGGGAACAACAGAGACCCATTCCTCAGATCTCAGCCTATCCCTGCTCCTCCTTCCAAGGCCTCCTGAAACAACATAAGCATGGCTTTTGTCTATACCTTGCTGCCATCACCCAATAGTGCTCTTCCCAAAGTGTGGAAAAGCTGTCTCAGGGGAGTTAATGTCCTCAGGCCAGCAGCAAGTTATGATGATTTTTGTACTTTAACTTATGTTGCCTGAAAAGTGCACATGCTGTGTTAGTGGATGTTTGACTCTTCCCCTGACCATGCCCTGAGCTCTGTGGAGCCCTTCTTTGACACAAAGTACAGAAGTAGAATTACAGTTGAAGAATACCACAGGTAGCTGGTCTTCCTCTCACACCCTACCACAGCTGAAAGTACCACACAACACTTGGGAGGTGGATGTTTAATACAATTGTATTGCTCTGGTAAAGTCATTTATTTTGCTAGATATTTTGATTGCTATGGAAAATAAAATATTGAAACTGAAACCAATCAATATTGGACCATAGAAGTAATCTTGTATTCCTTGATGAACTGATTCAGGAATAATTTTTTCAAATATAAAATCCTGGAATGTGGGAAGTTTGATTAAAAACTGCTAGAGCTGAGTGAATAACTGATTTTTTGGTTTGGTGGCCAAAATGGATTTTTTTGTTTTTTCTCACTGAGACAAAAAAAACTGACAAAAAATTGTTTAGGTCAAACAAGTCAACATGGTCTAAACAAAATTAGTTCTTAATTGAAATGTCAACCTAGTCTGTTTACAAAAATGTCAAAATGAGCTGTTTTGATTTTTTTAAAATAATGAATCCTCATTTTTTATTCATCCAAAAGTGCACTTTTCAGCAAATTCATTATTTGCCAGAAATATTGCCCAGTTTTACCACTAATCTTAAGAATTGTTTTGAAAAATGTACACCCTGCTGACACTGGCTGGCATCACCATGTAACGTGAAAATTTTTTTAAGATCCATTTAAAAAATCTGTTTTAGAACATAGGAACAGGGTCCTTATAGTTGATCTAGTCAATATCTCTTGAACTAGTTCAATTGTTTCTTGCAAACCCACGTACATATTAATAGAACTTTCCAGATTCAAATCAAATGATGAAGCAGATTTGTGTACATAGTACACGTGAAGGCAAACTGGGAGCAGTAAATTGGTTCCTTTCCAATTGGCACAGCATTTTTAAATTAAGAGACGTAACAAAACCCAAACTGCCACTCCCTATAACACCTCCAGAACTCCACTTCATTGCTAAGAATAAAACTGAAAAAACACACACACACACACACACAATACTTTCATTCCTTTGAAATTTGCTCAACTGGATCTGCTACACCCATACTTCAAACTAGCTACCACATTCCTGGTACAGCAAAGAAACTTTCGTCCTTATTTCATTCAGGCAGGAAAAGGGTGGCATGCTGTACTTTACTTTCAACTAACAGACACTTGACATAATCAGAACACTTCTGCGTCTTCTTTGCCTCCAAGGTAAAAATCTAAGAAAACAGCAAATTGGACTAAGTTAGCTGCTCTCTCTCTCTGTTGCCAAATGGAGAAGAAAACTATCTTTTGCTCACATTTGAAAACAAACACCTAACAATGAGTCATGGGAGGGAATGGTGACGGAAGATTCAGAGGTGCTGCTTCTTCCGTGAGCTAAAATTAGTCTACTGTATTACCAGTTTTGGGCAGAGAATGTGACTAAATAAATCCAGGGAAGACATTCCATAAACTGTGCAGTACTGCACCCTGACAATCATCTAGGGTTTTGTTGTTGAAACAACTTGCTGTTTGTTTTCTATTCTCATTTCCCCAAATATCTTATCTTGTTTTAAGAGAGGCTACATATCTCCCCGATCTCTGAAATCACTAGCTCTACATAATTAAAAAATGCAAAGCACAGTGTAAACTAATAGTACTGTGTAAATGTATTTAAAGAATAATAATTTTAATGTGCCAGGCTCTGGAGGCAATATTAACCACGTAACATCTCTTTAGTGGAAGTTAATGATCTCAAGACATGAGTGATTCACTCCTGCACTCTCACCAACATTCTCTCCACGTTTTGGGCTATTGTTGTATGCATTCTGTTATTGCTGCTTTGTTTGATTACACAGTCAGTTTATACTGTGCTTACTGTATTAGGGCCAATTTAAATTCCACTGTGGTCAAGTAAAAGACCCTAAATGACATCCAAGACAGGAGTAATCAAATACCTTAAATCACGAAAGAGCATTTTAAGCAGTATTGTACCATTGGATACGACAGCTGTCAAGGCATGACTGGGACTACGGAATGAAAGACTACATGCAGACAGATGCATTGAAATAGATCTGGAACCCCACGAAGACCTTCCTGGAGAAGCCGATACAGACTGGTCAATGTGGCGATGCCTGAACCACCTGAGCATACAGACTGGCGGATCAAAGACTAATATGCTCAAATGGGGCTAATCTAATTACACAAATATATGCGGTGAGATGAGGTGCAGACCATGGAGCGCCTGCTCATTTGCCAACTCTTTGGGGAGATCTGTATAAAGGAGGACCTCGCTGCAGTGATGGAAAGAGCCATTGCTTGTGCACGGTTCTGGAAAAACATCTAGTTTGCGACAAGAATACGAGGAGGAAGAGGAGAAGAGGAGGGAAATGGATCCAGCCCTTACTCTGTCGAGCTACATTTGAGATTCCTTACATATGACATATGCAGTATCTAGCATTATAACATTTCCAGAATCTTTAGAAATTGTAAATCTTCATCTCCTGACTCCTAACAAAATAAACATGGCCATTAGTTGTAATTAATATTGGATAGGTACTGGCAAGCTCAGTGGGGAAACAAAATATAATGATTCCTTAAACATATTTCATAGTGAATTGGGTATAGAGAAACAAAACTTATATTTGCAACATGACAAAGTAAAATTAGAATAGATTTACTACATCTACATTCAACAAAGTTGCATAGTATATTTTATATGAGGGACATTAGTAAGTCACTTTAATAAAGAAGTTACAAGTGCCTTTTTCTGGGCTGTTCAATCTATGTATAGAGTATGTGGGTTTGTTGTTGTCTTGTATTAGTGTAAACAATGGCTGGGTCCTTTTCATAATTTGTGGATTTCCAAACAAAACAAATTGGATATTCAGTTATGCCACTGACTTTCAATTTTTAAAATGTATTACAAGAGACTGTACATTGGGAGCTATTAAATGCTCTTGCTTTTGTTTGTGGATAAAAATGTAAAGTTAAGTGAGGCTGGCTGCAACAACAAATTCAAGCTGGCAAGGGTTCTGCAAGGCTAAACTGTCAATCAAAAACCTTATTACACATAGATCTGACATCATACCCACGCAAAATAAGGCTTTTCAGAGACAGCTTCTTTGACAAAAATCCAAGACTCACAATTTATGTAACATTTAATTTCTTGATGTCAGAGAACTCAATGCACTCATCTAATGTCTATACAGGGTATCCCTGTTATGCCAAATGGATTCTGTGCCAAACAGATTGCTAGATAGCACATTATTCATTGATTAAATTAATTAAAAACAGAACTTTTATTTAGGCAGAGAGCATCTTGTGCACAAAAATAAAGCTCACTTTAAAATATTTAATAACCAGCCATTCCTAGAGTAAGTTTTTTCTTCAAGTCAACTGGAATACAGCAATCAAGAACAGACAGCAACTGTCACTATGCCAAAATTCAGCAGAAAGAAGCAATCATTTTACTATAACAATGTAGATTTAAAGTGTTTGAAAAGAGAAGATGGAAAGCAAACATCTCTGCTTTGCCTCATTATTCCTGTAGCACCCAGAAAACTTTGGCCAACTTGTGTTCCCTTTATACTCTCCAGAGAAACGGTATTATGTTCAGCAGATTGATGGTCATGGGCTCTTCTTAGAGTAGTTAATAATTGCCTAAGCAGTCTCTGAGATGTTTCTAATGGGCAAGCCCCTGGACTTGAGTTCAATGAAGTTTTGGATCTATATTTATTACAGTACTACCCCATGTACTGGGGACATAACAGACACAAAGGGTGAAATACTGATCCTACTGAAGTCAATGGGTGTTTTGCCTTGACTTCAATGGGACCAGGATTTCACCCAAAATCTTGTCACCAATACCACAATGAAAATGATGACAATGAAAACATATTACTGCCTCATTTTTTAAAAAAGTCGCCCATTCCATTCTAGTGGCAAAGCAGAATCTTACAAGGTTAATTTAACTAACAGAATCTCTACTGCTTTGCAATAAGAAGTAAATGGGTGCCGAGACTGATGAACTATCATGCAAAGAAGAGGCAATTAAATATGCTACAGAACAATTAAGTATTGCTATTATACAACAAACACAGACAGGAAAAATACAATTTTCTACTTCATTAAGAGCTTTTCAAAGAGCTGCACTGTCTCCTTCTTGACTATCTAGTGACATCCACTTTAGGGACATGTCTAGGATGAATGGTGTAAGTGATCCAGGACAGTCCTAAAAAGTAATTAGTTCTTCATTGGAATGACTTATTTGGAAAAAAGGTTTACAACTGTCATAAAACTAAAGTAATCTGGAATCAAGCCTGTTTCTTTTAAGGCTAAATTTGGCCAATTGTTAGAGCTTTCAATTTCATTTTTGAGGGGACTTTGACTGGTTGAAGATTTTCTCTTGATGAATAATCTGGGTTGAAACACAGCCTAAAACAAAATCAGATTTCACCTACTAAATCAGAAACTTCAGGATTCTCATTTACAAAGGTAAAACCTTCAACATCCATCACAGTTATTCAAATGACAAATACACAAAAGATGCAGCGTTTCTCAGACTTAAACACGGGGTTAGACTACAGTCTCAGCAGTGTGTAACTGAAATCACCATATCATCATGGCATTTCTAGATTGTTACCTGATCATGTCTCTTAGTATAGAATGGAGTTCCTTCATTTCTGCAATATCAGTGAAACTAGGAAGATGACCTCCTAGTGCTTCACAGAATCTTTCTGCCTCTTCCCATGTCCTGGTTCTCAGCACTCTTTCACTATGAAAGAACTTCACAAAAACACCAAAGTGACAGCATGACTCAGTGACAGCCCTGTTTAGTCTCTGCTAATCTACTCAAATGTGGGCATTATTTGTAGGAACAAATTATTTCTTTCAAGGGGAAGAAGGTGGCAAGGTTGATTTTAAACTTTTTTTTTAAATCATTCTTTTTCCCCAGTTTTATTTGCAGGAATGGCTGGATTCTCTGGATTTTTTAGTTCAATTTTTGTTAGTCTACACTCAGCTCGACGGTATTTCTCCTCTTGTCTGTATGTACCACAATAATTTTTGAAAACTGCATCTGGTAAATTCCAAAACGCCAAGGAATGTTCTACATATGAAAAGACAAAACTGTATGGATTTTGGTGAAAATCTGAAAAGCCTGATTTTCACTAAAATCAGGCCAACAAAATGTCCATTTTGTGCTACAGGCAGAGGAAGCTCTCAGATACCCTCTACTGCTGCCGACGCATTTCACAGGCAGCACTCACCAGAGCATTGCACATTTCCTTTTTTATGTAAGCCAACCTATATTCCCAACTTCATCCCTTACCCCCACCACTATGGCCAGCCTACTCCCACTTAGGCACTCGGCCCCACTCTGGCCAGCTGGGATCCTCCCCTACTCCCCACTCTCACCAACCCCTCCTCCCAGCTCTATCCAACCTCCCAGCAGGGACTCCATTCACACTTACGAAGTTGGATACCCAAAGCTCAGCCTACCTGAGCAACAAAATGTGTGATCTCTAGTTTACTATCTGTCTAAAGTTTGTACGGCATCCCAAACACTGAATGCAGAAATTAGGAGGTATAAATCAAATAAGCCATTCATTTTAACGGGATTTGATTCTAAGCAATTCCATTAGGATTTTTAAATGGAAAAAGAAGTGTGCTTCTAAATTCAAGATCAATGAAGCCATTCCAGCCAACAGCTAATTGACTCAGAAAGCTATCTTAAAATAGCAAATACAACTTCAACATTTGGCTATACTCTTTGGTGGATGAGAGCTACATATTCCCGTAGCCAGAATTAAAAGTCAAATCTCCTCATTTATGGCCTCTGACGGTACACAAGGTGATGTGAGAGGGGAGAAGCTGCAAGGTGCCAAGTGCCTTCTTTGTGCCTCTGTACAACAGCCATGCACAGTCAGGCTGGAGGAAAGACATTCCTTGTTAGTGCCACCAACAGCACTAGCCTCCTGAAAGGAGACAAGGCAATGGCAGAGCTATGCCACAACTTCCTTGCACTGGACAGCAGTGCTGGCCTGGCATGGAGGGGAGTGCATGCTGCACCTTTCAAAGGATGGTAGAGTTGCTGCTCCAGTGTGCACTGCCTAAGAGCCTTTGGAGGAATTCTGCCCGAGTCAGCAAGAATTCTTCCTTGGGCTCCTGGTGCAGTGTGGCCTCTCTGAAACTCCCCGCACTACAGCTTAAAGCCACAAACTGGCCATTAACACGTAAATACAGACAGCTGAAAGAGAGTTCCATAATAAATAAGGCACTTAATAGGAAAAATGTATTACCTTATAGCAGGCAAGGCCTGATCCATTTTGCCACCCAGGAGGACAAGGGTCAGTTGGCTTAGGAAGTACTTCTGGCTGCCTGGGAGGCCCAGTATAGTTCTTGCAGATAGATAAGGCTGTAAAGGTTTTACAGTCCTTGGCCTCCCATTTTCCAAGAGATTTCCCACTTGACATTGCTACACATCCTCCAGGAAATGCTAAGATTTTAATAAACAAACACAACATTTAAAATCTCCTTGCTGGTTTTCAGAAAGTCCACCAGTTTCTGAATTACTGTCGTGCCATTCTTGTGAGACTATAAATGCAATTTATCACAATTATTTATTTTAGTTTTCTTAACTGTTAAAGATTTTACCTGGCTGTAAGGAATTCCAGTTTGCATACATCACAGCTTCATTTTTTCTCCCATCTGCATCACCCCAGGTATACTTTCCTGAACGGTTGATATCTTGCAAGCCTATCCAGAAATATTTTTCTTTGCCTTTACTGTATTTTCCAATCAAACTGTTTATAAATTCTTGCTCAAACCTGTAACAGTCACAATTTATTTCAAAAAGATATTACAAGGACATTTGTAACTATCAAATCAATTTGAAAATGAAGGGATATTCTCTTCTCTATGCAGATGGGTAAGTCCAAATGGTTATAAGAGGTGGTTGATGCATTCTGTACATTAAGATCATTTAATTTCTAAATATGCAAATTTGAATTGCCTACAAAACACTAACACCTGATAATGGCTAGGCAGGTGGTAAGCTGAGACTACTGCCTACCATGCATATCATTCTTGTTTTAATGTTACCTTGTCCTCCCACCACCAACTGTTGCTGTGCCATATAAACCTAGCTTATGAGCTCTTTAGGATAGGAATTGTTTTCTTATTACTTGTCTATACTGTGCTTACCACCACAGTCCTTGATTGGAGCCTCTAGCATCTACTGTAGTACAAATTAATAAATAAATGAATAATAATCATAAAAGATACAGGGCTGTACCTGTTCATTATTGTAAGATTGCACTGAGCTCCAAAGGATACTTTATTGTTATGAATCTTGTAACAGAAGTCTCCATGTCTCTTCCATCCCTAAAAGTTTAGAGAATGAAACATTTATATTTTTATAGACAAGTTCTGATAGTATAGTCCAACCTACTTCCCTAAAAGAAAGCATTACACCATTGTTTGGTGTCCAGGCACAGACATGCTAAGTATAAGACTCAAGATCAGGTATTACAGAATTTTCACCCTCTCAGCCAGCGAAGAAAGAACATGTAAAGGAGTGACACACCATGGGCTCTACCAAATATCCTCACTTTGGGTAAGGGCCAGAGGATCAAGCCCGAGACCTATATTGTGTGGGGAAACAAGGCAAAAGAAAATATATCACTATGTGTGCAAAACTGTGCAGGAAAAGCACTGTGACTGTTGCTTGTTAAAAGTCGATACTAGAGTGAAATTCTGGCCCCACTGAAGTAAATGGCAGTTTTGCCACTGACTTTAATGAGCTCAGGATTTTAAAGATGTTTATTTTAAAGATGCAATTAATAATATCAATTTAGGAACATGACTGGAATAGTGATTTAGAGGGGAATAGCTTGTTCAGGAACGTAGGTAGGGAAAAAAGGGAGGAGGTGTTGCATTATGCATCAAGAATGTATTCACTTGTTCTGAGATCCGGAAGGAGCTCAGAGGCACACCATTTTAAAGTCTCGTGGTGAAAATGGTTTTAATTGAATTAAACAAACAAACAAACCCAAAGGGAATTAATGAAAACACATCTATTAAAATTAGGGTTTGTAAAATCTATTTTTTAAAATAAAGAAATATAATATTACATCTTATACGTTGGAAATAAACTGCCTGCCAGAATCCCAATATACTTCTCAGTGAACAGAGGGGTATGACATTTAAAAGACAGTCCCTACCAAGTGAAGAGAATTTTAAATTAAATCAACTTTTGGGTGTAAACTACTTGGACGTATCTTTATAAAACTAGGATAATCCAATGTTTGATAAATTCTTTTAAAATTAGAACTCCAAAAATAGAGGAAATAAAAGTAATTTATGTAGGCAGAATTTCACATTGAAGTAAGGTAAAAGAATCACAAATTTTTAAAATAATTGACATTATGAATGATTACCTCTTTCGGGAAACACTGTTTATCAGATGTTTCATTCAAAACTTCTCCTTTTTTCATACATACATATTTCAGTTTCTCTTCACAAGATTTGACTCTCCACCGACCCAACTATTACATAGGAGGAAAAAAAAGGGGATTTAAAAACCCCTCAACATTTTCAAATTTGAACTTATTTCCAGCTATATTTTAGTTTAAAATCATTGCTGTGATGTAGACATAAGCCAATTTACGTTGTGGGGACTCCTCAAGGCTGAATCAGCCTTTCCTGGCTCTTGCTCTTTAAGGATTAACAATTCTCCTGGATACGGGCCCTATAAAAAGCCTGATTAATTATGCCTGTTTAAGGGACCGCTGTCTGCAGGGTGTTCTGCTATCTCCTGCCAGTGCTGTCTCTTGCTCTTCTCAGCTGTCGTTTACCAAAGTATTACATGGATACCTCATTTTCTTCTTAACTGATCAGGGCCTGCTATGACCCTCTCGAAGACAGCAACTCTGCTGGTCGCAGCAGTACTTAATAGCTCCCCCAGGTTCACCAGATTGTTCCTGCCAAATACAAACCCAAACTGCCCTAAATTGCACTTTCTATGTGTACTGTGTTGTTACATCAACAGACAATGATGTTTCATCATGCAATACTGCCCAAACATACAAGAGCAAGTAAAATCCCACTGTCATCATTTTAAAAGTACATATAAAAGCCTTGATGGAGAAACCCCGAAGTTCAGAGTTTGCTCAAACAACTGGTTCGGATATGTACGCGGAAGTCCGGATGCTATCAAAATCAATGACACCTCCAGCCAAGCCCTAAAGCCCTCTTCCATACTACCTCTCTCTCCCCAAAACATTCCACTGCTCCCCCTCATGTGTCTCCTTGGGGAAGGCCTGTTACACTCTTCTGAGTATTTGCGGAATAGCTAGTAAGTCTACTCCTGGGGAACGGCTATGGCCAGCTCCCCACTCTGGAATCTTTGTGGTGTTATCAAGATCTCTCTCCCCTCCACTCCCCTTTACTACCCTCCAAGAGCCATGGTCTCTCTCCTTCACTCCGCACTCCAGGTGTCTCATTACCCCTTCTCAATTCCCTAAATTGCTCATAGTGCCTCAAGCCTCTGGGGTTTGATTCAGGCTGGCTCCTCACCTCTATAGCTCTGCCTGCCTGCTTGCATCCCTCTTGGCTCTCTGTCACCTAGACATAACAAGGAGCTGGTAAGTGGTAACTCAGAAGGCAGAGCAGGATTGGAAAGAACACCACGGAGCAGCAGGAGAAACAACTAGCTGCCCCTCAACAGCAGCCAAAGCAGCAGTTGCTAGTGGCAGAATTTGAGAACCGCAAACAATTTCTTTCATTCCCTTGAAGCTCATGACACACACAGGGAACTCAGGTTTCAGAGTAGCAGCCGTGTTAGTCTGTATCCGCAAAAAGAAAAGGAGTACTTGTGGCACTTTAGAGACTAACCAATTTATTTGAGCATAAGCTTTCGTGAGCTACAGCTTACTTCATCAGATGCATGCAGTGGAAAATACAGTGGGGAGCTTTTATATACACAGAGAACATGAAACGATGGGTGTTACCATACACACTGTAACGAGAGTGATCAGGTAAGGTGAGCTATTACCAGCAGGAGAGCGGGAGGGGGAGGGAAATAACCTTTTGTAGTGATAATCAAGGTGGGCCATTTCCAGCAGTTGACAAGAATGTGTGAGGAACAGTGAGGGGAGGGGGAATAAACATGGGGAAATAGTTTTACTTTGTGTAATGACACATCCACTCCCAGTCTTTATTCAAGCCTAAATTAATTGTGTCCAGTTTGCAAATTAATTCCAATTCAGCAGTCACTCGTTGGAGTCTGTCTTTGAAGTTTTTTTGTTGAAGAATTGCCACTTTAGGTCTGTAATCAAGTGACCAAAGAGATTGAAGTGTTCTCCGACTGGTTTTTGAATGTTATAATTCTTGATGTCTGATTTGTGTCCATTTATTCTTTTACATAGAGACTGTCCCGTTTGGCCAATGTACATGGCAGAGGGGCATTGCTGGCACATGATGGCATATATCACATTGGTAGATGTGCAGTGAACGAGTCTCTGATAGTGTGGCTGATGTGATTAGGCCCTGAATAGATATGTGGACACAGTCGGCAACGGGCTTTGTTGCAAGGATAGGTTCCTGGGTTAGTGGTTTTATTGTGTGGTTGCTGGTGAGTATTTGCGTCAGGTTTGGGGGCTGTCTGTAAGCGAGGACTAGCCTGTCTCCCTAGATCTGTGAGAGTGATGGATCATCCTTCAGGATAGGTTGTAGATCCTTGATGATGCATTGGAGAGGTTTTAGTTGGGGGCTGAAGGTAATGGCTAGTGGTGTTCTGTTATTTTCTTTGTTGGGCTTGTCCTGTCGTAGGTAACTTCTGGGTACTCTTCTGGCTCTGTCAATCTGTTTCTTCACTTCAGCAGGTGGGTATTGTAGTTGTAAGAACGCTTGATAGAGATCTTGTAGGTGTTTGTCTCTGTCTGAGGGGTTGGAGCAAATGCGGTTGTATCGTACAGCTTGGCTATAGACAATGGATCACGTGATATGGTCTGGATGAAAACTGGAGGCATGTAGGTAAGTATAGTTGTCAGTAGGTTTCCGGTATAGGGTGGTGTTTATGTGGCCATCGCTTATTAGCACCGTAGTGTCCAGGAAGTGGATCTCTTGTGTGGACTGGTCCAGGCTGAGGTTGATGGTGGGATGGAAATTGTTGAAATCATGGTGGAATTCCTCAAGGGCTTCTTTTCCATGGGTCCAGATGATGAAGATGTCATCAGTGTAGCGCAAGTAGAGTAGGGGCGCTAGAGGACGAGAGCTGAGGAAGTGTTGTTCTAAGTCCGCCATAAAAATGTGGGCATACTGTGGGACCATGTGGGTACCCATAGCAGGGCTGCTGATTTGAAGGTATACATTGTCCCCCAAATGTGAAATAGTTATGGGTGAGGACAAAGTCACAAAGTTCAGCCACCAGGTTTGCCGTGACATTATCAGGAATACTGTTTCTGATGGCTTGTGGTCCATCTTTGTGTGAAATGTTGGTGTAAAGGGCTTCTACATCCACAGTGGCCAGGATGGTGTTTTCAGGAAGATCACTGATGGATTGTAGTTTCCTCAGGAAGTCAGTGGTGTCTCCAAGATAGCTGGGAGGGCCTGAGGAGGGAGTCTACATAGCCAGACAATCCTGCTGTCAGGGTGCCAATGCCTGAGATGATGGGGCATCCAGGATTTCCAGGTTTATGGATCTTGGGTAGCAGATAGACTACCCCTGGTCGGGGTTCTGGGGGTGTGTCTGTGCGCATTTACACAGTATGCAAACTTTGGATAAATAATTTCAAGCAATTTCTTTTTTTAAAATAGTGTCAAATAGTTATTTCTGAAACAAAGAGATTTGCTTTCATTATCCCTGTGATATAGCATTATATATATATTTCATTATTCCCAGATATATTTCTGTATATATCAAAGATGATTCAGTTGTATTTGGGGGTTTTTGCTTTCAGCCTTCACACATACACCACATAACACTGCATCTACTATGACTGAAAGAGTATTGGGTTCTTACCTTTCCTGAATAGGACACACAGTTAGGAGTGCTGTTAAAAGGAATTGTTGGTTCATTCTGATTCCAGTAAGTGAAAACCACTTTGGACCCATCTGACCACTTAAACAAAGCTGGAGTATCCTCATTCATGAAACCCATCCATATTTCCTCTTTAGTTTCTAAAGTTAAAATGGGGATGAGAATATAACTTTAGTTTAGCAAGTAAGATAACTGCAAATGAAAATGAAACCAACAAATTTAAGATTTAACAGCATGCAAAATACTATAGGAGCCTCCCAAAACCTGCCATGTCTCAGAATACACTGCATTATTCTCAAATACCCATTCTCACAATGAGATCAGGGATCTGAGACTGGCACAAAGCACTTTTTACCATCCCGTTTTTTCTTATTATGTATAAATATATATAACTGCTTTTTTGGTGATGCTTACACATACAAGCAAAATTACCATTAATTCAAAAAGAGAAAGAATCCTCAGTTTTAGACAGCAGCAGTGGAGAATACGCAGACAAGTTCAGTGACCAATAGCCAAGTAATAACTCAAATAACTGTATATATTTGAATGAAGAACTATCACCATTCTGTTCAAAACATAATACAACAAAACACAAAGTAAAATAAAAATAAACAGAATCCTACCAATATAAAACAGAGTAAACAACGCGAAAAAACTTTGGAGAAAAAAAAAAGTTTCCTCAAGAGAGGTTGATCTTCTTAGATCAGTTCCTCAGCTAACGTGAGTCAGTTTACTCCACTGAAATCAATGTAATAACACTACTGAAGTCAATGGTGGTACACCTATGTAGACATGCGGAGGATCTGGCCTTGTATCTCTCTATCTAAACTGCTGATTCATTAATTTCTGGCCTCATGGAGCTATTGTTTATTTTGTTAATATTGTTAACTATCCAAACTTACCATTATGAAGCTTTGTAACAACCAGCTCAACATCTGCTAAAGAATGTATGCTGATGAGGTCACTTTTGTTTTCTCTGCACGACTGACTTGCCATATTCCAGGAAGCTTGGTTATTCATCTGCATATAGCAAAAACCACTGTATGGAAGCCAGCCCGAATCACATTGAGTCTCCAAGTACCTCCAAACATCTGAGAATGAAGAGAATGTGGATTAGGTGCCATGTGAGTTACACAGATTATTGTATGAACTGAAAGTTTGTTAAATGTTTTCTTGCAGAATCTTGAAGCTTCCAAATCAGAGCTATTATAATGTGTTCACTCAGCAGGTAACTGTTAATATTTCCTCTTTCTCTAGCTCTGATCTCAATGTCCCAGATTGTACCCTCCAATTCACTGAGAAGAGGGGACCATTTTAAAGAGTAGCTACCCCAACTATGTCAAATGGAAGGAGAGTTCTACTTCTGTGATACTGTTCAAGTTCTCTTCCCAAAGTACAGAAATTGCTCTAACAGGAAGCGCACAGAAGATGCTCCAGTCTCTACCAGCATTCCTGTATGTCACACACTTATTACAAATATCATTGACTTAAAGTAAAATGGAGAGAGGTAACGTTAATAAAAACAAGTAACATGGCTCTTACTACGTTGGAACCTAAGCCAAAGGTCAAAGAGAAACATGTGGGGCTTGCATCTAGCCAGCTGGTTTAAGGGGGAGAAACCATAACAGTGATTAGTAATATTTATGGCTGGTAGGGAAGCGGCAAAGAAAACGCAGCTAATTGCAGTGGAAAGTAAAAGTTATCCATTACCCTAAATGTGATGTAAGCGAAAGGTATGTGTCAGAAAAACAACGACGACTGCCACATCTTCCCTTGAAACTGCATTAGAACACACTGCCAAGCAGCTAAAAAACAAAGCTACTTCATTGTTAGTGACCAGTATATTACTCCTTTAGCTTCAGCAGCTTGATTTAGAAGGCATGCATGTCAAGTATATAATATTATTTAGATGTATTGTGGTATCACTGAATGGCCTCATTCAAGATTAATGCTGGGAAAACACAAAAATTCCCAATCTCAGCACTGAAGAACCTACTATCTTTTTCTCCCAAGTAGGTTTCCAGTAAATAGTCTCAACCTCCAATGAGGTTCAGCCTTACTGATTTAAAATACAGCACAAAACATAAATATATTTGAAGTAATTACAAGTTGTATGGTAGAATGTTACAGTAGGTAAACTTACTATTTCATACTGCCTGTCAGACCTTTCCTAGAAGCTTACTGAATGTTTACAGCACTTTACAAAGTATTTTATAAAACAGAAGAGAAGACATAGACCCTGCCTCAAAGACCTTACACACTAACTCAGACAAAACCAAACAAGGAGACACAGTTCAGGTATGGGAGGTGTGAGGACACCACTGGTAATGAGGTCAGTGTCATAACAACACTTAGCTTTTCTCTAGTTTACATCATCAAAGCACTGTACAAACATTAGCTACCTCTCAGCACACCCTTCTGCAGCCGGTATAAGAGAGGTAAAGATTATACAGTGGGTCAGACATCAACTCAGGAGTTCCTGGCTTCCAATTCTGGGCTTGATATAAAGCCAATGAAGTCAATGAAAAGACTCCCATTGAGTTGAATGGGCTTTGAATCAGGTTTCCTATGCTCAATCCACCTAAAACACACGCCTTGTCAATATAGGCAAGCTTTGTAAGGGAAATGGGTTTTCAGAAGAATTTGAATGAGTAAGGATGCCTAGAGGATAGGAACTTCCAAATATTGGGTAAAGTATGAAAGAAGCCACAAGTTGAGAATAGGAAAATATGATAAAGAAAGCAGTATGGAGGAGGCAACTGGGAAAAGCTCAGGGAATGCTAGAAGGAAGTGGGAGATCAGGGTGAGGGAAGATCCTGCACTGTCTTGAAACGGAAGGCAAAAAGTTTGAGTTTGATGTAGAAAAAGACAGGAACTCAGTGCAAAGGGATTTTGGGGAGGGAGGCTGATGTAGTCAGAGTGGGGAGAGGACCATTACTTTAACACTGGCAGGTGACTATAGCAGCAGTGGACATTACCCTCATTATCACTATGTACTGACCAGAAACAAAAAGAAAAGGAGTACTTGTGGCACCTTAGAGACTAACCAATTTATTTGAGCATGAGCTTTCGTGAGCTACAGCTCACTTCATCGGATGCTGTAGCTCACGAAAGCTCATGCTCAAATAAATTGGTTAGTCTCTAAGGTGCCACAAGTACTCCTTTTCTTTTTGCGAATACAGACTAACACGGCTGTTACTCTGTGACCAGAAACAGACGCACAGGGATGGATTACCTGGTAATTCTGATTTTGTATTGTTAAGTGGCTTCTTGCAGACATATGGAAGTGCAGTCCCACAGTGGTAACTTTGCCATTGACCTGAGGCAGCATTCATCGCCACGCAGCTTGACCCATCCAAAGGCAACACATTTTGCATGTCTTTGGGAGAGAAAGAACTATATGTAAGAGTTCAGATTTATATAAAGTGAAAGTGATTATTGCTTCTTTTGTCTCACACTTTCTGACGCAATAATAATACTTTGTACTTCTGTAGTATCTTCCATCTGAGGATCATAATGCACTTTACAATCTTTGGCCTGAGGAACTTGTTTTACAATAGGTCACATAGGAAGCCTTCTGAAAGAACCAGGAATAGACTCAAGGAATGCTCATTCCTAGTCCTGTACTTTAACCACAAGACCTAGCAGAATATTCTATCTAAACTACAATTAACACAAGGAAAATTTAAGCTATGACATAAACCAACAGATAAAAATTAATGAAATAATTGTAAGTAAAAGTCAACTCTTAAATTTCCTTGTGTATATTTAGAGGTAGCTCAGTTACAAATACCTGCTCTTAAAATCATGGGAGTTTCAGCTGGAAACTACCAATATAATGTTTACCAAAACAGAAAGCCTGTATTAATACAGGAAGCACGGTAAAAGCAAAACGAAAGAATAGTGACTACATTTGCCACAGAAATCATTTGGTAATAGGCACTGCTTTATGTTTTATCATCAAGTTTTTCTGTCTTTATAATGAGTGAGACAACAAGTCCCTCCTAGTCCCTTCTCTCTGTTGTTTGGAAACTGGTGCCAAAAGAATAATTTGTTTTTTTCATTAAGGACACAATCCTGCACACTTGGAAATTATTGGGAGTTTTGCCATGGATTTCAACAGGAAGTGGATCAGGTTGTAATTTATTGGGCTTTCCCATCTACCACTTAGAAGTTTTAATTTTTGAGCTACATGGTTTGGATTGTCAGACAACTGGGGGCAGATTCTGCCACCCTTACTTATGATTAGGGCTTTCAAGTGATTAAGAAAATTAATCGCGATTAATTGCACAATTAAAAAAATTAATCATGATTAATCGCGCTGGTAAACAATAGAACAGCATTTATTTTAAATATTTTTGGATGTTTACTACATTTTCAAATATATTAATTTCAATGACAACACAGAATACAAAGTGTACAGTGCTCACTTTATATTTATTTTTTATTACAAATATTTGCACTGTAAAAAACAAATTGTATTTTTCAATTCACCTCATACAAGTACTGTAGTGCAATCTCACAAAAGTTCAACTTACAAATGTAGAATTATGTACAAAAAAACCTGCATTCAAAAATAAAACAATGTAAAACTTTAGAGCCTACAAGTCCTACTTCTTGGTCAGCCAATCACTCAGACAAACAAGGCTGGTTACAGTTTGCAGAAAATAATGCTACCTGCTTCTTGTTTACAATGTCACCTGAAAGTTAGAACAGGCGTTCACATGGCACTGTTTTAGCCGGCATTGCAAGATATTTACATGCCAAATGCGCTAAAGTTTCATATGTCCCTTCATTCTTCAACCACCATTCCAGAGGACATGCTTCCATGATGGTGATAGGTTCTGCCTGATAATAAGCCAAAGCAGGGCGGACTGATGCATGTTCATTTTCATCACCTGAGTCAGATGCCACAAGAAGAAGGTTGAGTTTCTTTTTTGGTGGTTTGGGTTCTGTAGTTTCTGCATCTGAGTGTTGCTCTTTTAAGACTTCTAAAAGCATACTCCACACCTCGTCTCTCTCAGATTTTGGACAGCACTTCAGATTCTTAAACCTTGGGTTGAGTGCTGTAGCTATTTTAGAAATCTCACATTGGGACCTTCTTTGCATTTTGTCAAGTCTACTGTGAAAGTGTTCTTAAAATGAACATGTGCTGGGTCATCATCCGAGACTGCTATAACATGAAATATATGCAGAATGTGGGTAATACAGAGCAGGAGACATACAATTTTCCCCCCAAGGAGAACAGTCACAAATTTAACTGACGCATTTTTTTTTTAATGATCATCATCAGCATTGGAGCATGTCCCTGGAATGGTGGCCGAAGCATGAAGGGGCATATGAATGTTTAGCATATCTGGCATGTAAATACCTTGCAACGCTGGCTACAAAAGTGCCATACGAACACCTGTTCTCACTTTCAAGTGACATTGTAAGTAAGAAGCAGGCAGCAGTATCGCCCGTCAATGTAAACAAACTTGTTTGTCTTAGCGATTGGCAGAATAAGAAGTAGGACTGAGTGGACTTGCAGGCTCTAAAGTTTTACAGTGTTTTGTTTTTGAGTGCAGTTATGTAACCAAAAAAAATCTCCATTTGTAAGTTACACTTTCACGATAAAGAGATTGCACTTCAATACTTGTATGAGGTGAATTGAAAAAACACTATTTCTTTTGTTTATCATTTTTACAGTGCATATATTTGTATTCAAAAATAATAATATAAAGTGAACACTGTGCACTTTGTATTCTGTGTTGTAACTGAAATCAATATTGAAAATGTAGAAAAACATCCAAAAATATTTAATAAATTTCAGTTGGTATTCTATTGTTGTAAGTGTGATTAATCGCGATTAATTTTTTTATAGCGAATAATTTTTTTGAGTTAATCACGTGAGTTAACTGCGATTAATTGACAGCCTTACTTATGATGAATAGCACCCTGCTTTGCAAATCGTCCCATTGAAATCACACATAAGGTGTGACTCATATAAAAGTGGCAAAGCTGGGTCCTTAGACTTTGAAGAGATGATAAAAGAAATGCTTTATGTGGCAAATCTTATAAAAAGCTCTACTTAGCAAACTTATCCAAAAATAATAAACTCTCACAAAAGCCACATCTTATCTCTCTACTCACTTGCTTCCTCAAATGACTACCATTTGATGGAACAAGAGGCTATTCAATAAGCTGGAAAAAGAGAGAGTTCAGTTCCAAAAAGACTACACAGACTTACTTTGAGGAGGGGCAGGAACAAACACGAGCCTTAGTATTAATGTATAACCCGTATATACAACAAACAAGTATGTATAATCAGTTATACAACAAAGATTCTCATAAATTACCCACAACAAATGAAACCAGATTTCAAATGCAAGGCTTCAAATTCCAAGATACCTAATTGAGCAAAACTCTGATTTCACTGGAACTCTGAGGAATTAAAATAAGTTTTCCAAAATTTGTCTTTGTACCTCATCTCCTACAAAACCACAAGTTAATGTAACCTTAAAGTTAAAAGTTTAACTGCACAAGTCAGGCTTCTATAGCAATTTATCCCAGGTCCCTGGCATATATGTGTTAGTTTATATGCTGTTAAATGTATGCCTTCATATAGCACTATAATGTGGTGAATTACAGTGGTTATGATAATCATATCTTTGAATTCCACAATTTGTGCATAAAATCTCATCCATTCTGCCAGTGGGAAAAAGAAATCATCAAAGAACCCTGGAGCTGCACCAAATATGCAGACAGACAATCTCAAACTGAAGGTATTTTTAAAAGCTGTCTTTTTTCCTAGAGGTTTATTAACCCCAATCTTCCATAATTTAAAACTTGTGTGAATAGTAGGATTCACCTTTTAAGAAAAATGTTTAAGGATGTTTTTCAACTTTTTACTGCAATGGAACAATAATGTTCTCTTTGGTAAAGTGCAATAAAAGAAGATGAAAAGTAAAGTTCCAGTGTGTATTATGAATACATGTTCATTCAATTGAAAAGATGGTTACCTGGATTCCAGTTAAGAAAGTTCAAGGGTGTGTGGTCTGACCACTGCCAACCTCCAGAAATGTCCAGTTGGTTTAAGCCAATCCAAAACACCTCTGCAATGCCATCTTTAGCTGGAATTAATAATTAAAAATGGTTAATTAAAACTATGTTCATCCATTAAATAGTTGTTTTTAAACTAAGGAGCTAACTGAAAATATGTCCAGTAGAGAAACATTTTGCATTGAATATGGATGTGCAACTTCTACTGAAGTAAGAAGAAGTTAAGGTCCCTGGGCAGAACTTGGCCCTTAATTTGTTACAGAATTCCGTTTTCTTCCTCCTGTTCCCTCCAGAAACTGATTGTTTTATTCTTCCATACTCAAAGACACAGTGACACCTCCTCCAGTCCAAGCCTGAATAAAGCCCTGTATGGCTGCACAGGTGATTACATGACAATGACACAAAACACCCTCTTCCTCAAGGGATGAGTGCACTGTTAGAATGGATATAACTAATTTGATTTCCAGATCCAAGCGGATCCCATGCACTGCACTGACACTAAACTGTCAGGTTGACCCATTCTGCATTTTGTGTGTGGACACAGGCCGTTTACTTCTGTTTACATTCACAAACACTATAATACAATCAGATGAACTATATGAGAAAATCTCAGGTTAGATTAGTAATTCATTCCTATTATACAAGTTACAGCACCAAGAGATCTTACATGCCAGAGAATTTTAATGCTACCTTGAAGTTATTCTACTTGTCAGGGTTCCCTGATATTCTGCTGTCAACATACTCGTCTCATCCATTTATTACAGATAGTTATACCTACCTTGTATATAACTTAATTCAGTTGTATTTGTGATGCTCAGTAAATCTCCGCCTTGTGTTTGACATGAAATATAGGCTTCTTTCCAAGAAAGAGGAGACTGTGTGTTTAACTGGTAGCAACTTTCAGATCCTGGATCGTGTTCCCAGGTATCACGACAACCATTCTCTGTATAATGCAAACACATGATCTGGTGACTATAGAAAAACAATAACTGCATTTGGGTTTTTTCAAACATTTTAGTGAACATTATTGTAATACAGAGGAAAATGCAAGGAAGTGTTTTAGTTGTATATTAAAATCACTCATATTACAGAGTATATTTGTATTGATTGTTGTATCAATGTTCCAATATCAGCGAGACCTAATTTTAAAAGAGTTTAGTCTGCAGATATTATACCATAAAATAGAGCTGTACATGAAATTGCAGAACTCTGTTAGGACATCTATTTTGAAAACCTACGTGCCTGGTTTTAAGCAGATTCCCCATTTGGCATCCTGAATGTAATTGGAGGTTGTGGCACACCATTCACCATCTGTGTGTGTTACATCCCGAATGCAGTCATGATACCATGTCTTATTAACTAGGAAGGGGAACTCACAGGGCCTTCCATAGGAGTTACCATCCCTCGTATAGATCTCTGTAAAAGCAACCAAACAGCAGATTTAGTATTTGAAAGAGAAATCTGAACACACCTGAAAGCATTATAATGAATGAATAATCTAAAACTCCCCTCTCACAAGTTTGTTGAGGAAGAAAAGAGTAGCAAATAAAAGCTACTACTTACATGGAGAACATTAACTTAAAAATTACCAAATCACACTGCTATCTAGGAATATTGTACTCTTATTGTTACAAATAACACATAATAATACTATAACCAGAAGAGATTAAATAATTTTTTTTTCTGTTTCTCTCCACTCCCCAGGCATTATTTTTTTATTAGCCAGTATATTATGACAGTGTATTAGCCAGTTTCACTATACTTCCTGTATGGTCAATTAGACCCCAATCCTGTGAACACACTTGTGTTGAACTTCATGCATTTCAGTAATCCCATTGAGTTCAATAAGACTCTTTACACATGTAACATTAAGCATGCGTATAAGCATTTGAAGGATCATCACCTTAGTTAGTTTCCCCCTTTGTTCCTGTGAATCCTTCCCACAAGGAGTCGGGGCCAGCTAGCCACAAAGCACCACCAAGAGCTCTGAGGACACAAGTGAGCCACACCCTAGTATGGGACCCCTGGATTCGATTTCAAGTTGATGTTGTCCCTTTAAACAAACACGAAAATGCTGTATATTACCGTTAACTGCTATTACTTTCTGCCTAGTCTAATGCAAATTGTAAAATGTATAATATCACCCATAAAGGTCTCTTACAGAATACTTTACCTAGCTCAGATTTGACTCCATGCCTGCTGGACAACAGAGGCACTGCACAAACTACTCCCTTCTCAGAAGAAATAAATACAAGACAGCTCTTAGGGTCAGAGACACAGAGTGCACCAAGTTTGACTGCCATGTCAATGCGGTAATCTGAGTCATCATGGCTATAGCACTAGAGGGATACACTGAACACATTCAAAGCACCCCTTCGCCTCATACAGGGGCAGGTTATTCTCTGTATGACAGATTGTTCGTCAACTAAGGAAGAAATGCTAAAGGAACATTGTGGCCTGCAGCAACTTTTCCCCAAGGCTAGGTCTACACTAGGAACAATTTGCTGCTATAGCTATTCTGGTATAATATACCAGCAAAGCTCTCCCAGCAAGGACACAGCAAAACTGTGCTTTTGCTAGTATAACTATATCTGCACTAGAGCTTTTTGCCAACACAGCTATGTCAGTCAGGGATCACACCACATGACATGCCTGACCAGTACAGCTATGCTAGCAAAAGTCTGAAGTGTACACATGGCCTAAGTGACAGCTCCCTCTGTTAGAGGGCAAGGAGTCATATGACCCTCAGGACTCCCCTGAGAGTCCTCTTAACCTAAACAAAAATCAAGGATCAGGGAGAGGAAGAAGGGATTCCCCCAGTAGATCTCTGATAGGGGAATCTCTTGGAGGGGAGGAAGAATGGTCTACTAGATAGAGCAGTGGACTGAAACTCCGGAGACCATTGTTCAGTTCCTGGCTTAGCCACAGACTTCCTGTGTGACCTTGGGTAAGTTACTTGGGGCCAAGTTTACATAAGTATTTTGATGTCTAAAGATGCAGACAGGTGCCCAATTTCCTTTGGTACTTTTGTAAATCAGATCTTCAAAGGTATTTAAGGCACCTAAGTGAGTCACACACCTAAATATCTTTGAAAATCTGGGCCTCAGTGTTTATCTGCATCCTTAGGCACTTAAATACCTCTGTCTCTCAGTGCCTCATTCCCCATCTGTAAAATGGGGATACTACTACATGCCTACCTAAGAGGGGTATTGTGAGGATAAAATCCATTGATGATTGTGAGGTGCTCAGATACTATGGTGACGATAGTTGTAAAAACAGTGCTGGGAGCTGTCACTGTGGGCACAGGTTCCCTACAACTTCCAAATAAATATAGGAAGCTGATCCTCTTCCTATTGTGGCAAACACAGGTGAGTTGCAGGGTAAGTAAGCATGACTGGAACTCCCTGTAAAAATCCATGAAGCTGACACATTGTCCTCCTTTAAACCCTTCCTAAAAATTCACTTCTGCCATGATGCCTACAGAACACTTGACAATAGAAAAGCAGCTGGTGTGCTTTAACCACTGCTTCTTATGCTAACCATAATAGTGTCATTGTTTCTGTGCACTCCTTCATGTGTCTGTTATATCCATCTGTTGTGTCTTGTCATATTCAAAGCTTGTATAGGCTTTTGGGGGCAGTACCATCCCTTTCATCATATGTCTGTACAGCACCTTTCACAATGCAGTCCCAATCCCTGACTTGAGCCACTACTGCAGTGCAAATAAATAAAATAAAATAATAAATAATAATAATAATAAAGTAATAATACATAGGGTTTCTGTTTTTCAGCATATATTAATTTCATTTTGGGGGGGTTATTTTTAGTAATTGTTGAGTTCGATGTAGATGGGATTTTCAGGGTTTTCTTTTTATATATGCTGTATGAATAATGTATATTATATACTGTAATGCAGAGGTGGGCAAACTATGGCCCGTAGGCCACATCTGGCCCACGGGACCGTCCTGCCCGGCCCCTGAGCTCCTGGCCTGGGAGGCTGTCCCTCCTCCCCCGCAGCCATGCCGCTGCGCAGCACAATGCTCTGGGTAGCAGGGCTGCAGAGCCCGGCCTGACCCAGTGCTCTGGGCTGTGTGGCGTGGCTGCCTGTCCTGGTGCAGCCGCACCACCAGCCACCGGTGCTCCAGGCAGCGCAGTAAGGGGGCAGGGAGCAGGAGTTGGATAGAGGGCAGGGGAGTTCGGGGGGTGGTCAGGGGCATGGATAGGGGTCAAGGCAATTAGAGGGTGGGGAACAGGGGTAGGGGTCCCAGGGGGGCAGTGGTCCCGAGGGGGCTGTCAGGGGGCGAGAAGCAGGGGGGGAGGGGTGGGTTGGATAGGGGACGGGGGACGGGCCATGCTTGGCTGTTTGGGAAGGCACAGCCTCCCCTAACCGGCCCTCCATACAATTTCAGAAACCCGATGCGGCCCTCAGGCCAAAAAGTTTACTCATTACAGCAGGGGTGGGCAATCTCTTTGTAATGTTCCGTGGTGCTATATAACATAGTACTGTTTCAAATAGCACTATGTTAAAGTGCACTAGGGAACCTTTAGTGTGCACCAGCAGGATCAATATGGACTAATTAATGCACAACACAGTAGTGCACTTTAGAAATCACACCCTCATAGTTCATCTTACTGCTCCATGTACACAAGCCCTTAGATACAAATAACAATTTATGTGTTTTCTAGTGTTTATTGGACAAACACCAATTTCTTTTTCAGGGATGTTTTACTGGTGTTTATTGGATAAAACTGAAAATCAGACGCCCTATAATAAGTTACTCTAGCAATGGCAGTAGCAGTAATTTTGGTAAGATGCATGGCACCAAGAGACAGAGAGAATCTGAAGGAGGAGCTCACGAAAGCTCATGCTCAAATAAATTGGTTAGTCTCTAAGGTGCCACAAGTACTCCTTTTCTTTTTGCGAATACAGACTAACACGGCTGTTACTCTGAAACCTGAAGGAGGAGAGTGAAGATGATCCTGGAAAGAAAGGCAGAGGCTGTCTTTGTGTGTATCATCAAAGCAAAGCATTTTAATAATGAATAAAATAAATATAATAATAGTTAATAATAGAGAGTTTTGGAGCATGTTGCATGAGATCATCTTCCAATCAGCTCAGCAGCTGTCTGGTATTGAACTATTACTGGTTTTGGCTTTGCACAGTGTGCAGACTATTCCCCTTTACCTAGATAGCAGAGAATAAACTATTAAAGACAAAAACTGTCTCTCTGTTCCTTCTTTGCACTACCCCAGAGACAGCTATTTCCTGCCTTTTATACAGGGCTTGTGGCAAAGATACAATCCAGGCCTATTTTTTTTCAAACTAAGCAGTTAGCGGTTTGTTATTAAGAGTCTGACTTTTTTTAAAAAAGTTAAAATAATGCTGTTACGGGGAAAAGTAGCTCAATCTACACTTTCTCCATGAAAAACTTTTTACTTGTGAACTTTCACACAGTAGCCAGTGAACACCAATTATCATGGTTAAAATATTGTTCATTTAAATGCAAAAATATTGCAGATAACCAGTTACACAGTTTTCAGATCACCACTCCTACTAATCAGTGTCAAGAACAGATTTGGGGTAGTAGGGAAAGAAAAAAACCTGAAATCCTGGTCTGAATTAAGTTAATGGCAAAACTTCCACTGACTTAAACAGGGACAGGAAAAGGCCTATAAACTACAGTCCTGCTAGAAGGTGGCTGGTGTTTCATATATGAAAGGGATGCTATCAAAAGAATGGTAGGTGTACATGTACAAAACTAGCCTTTTACTTAACACCACTTCTCTGTAATTAATCAATCAATCAATAATGCCACATTACAAATTTGCAATACCTGAACATCATTATCTCTCTGTGGCAAAAACTTCCTTCCTTTATCAGTCTTTCAAATGCTTAGAAGTTGGCATATTCCCACATATTGTTAGTGAAAATCATCACCATATCTCCTACTTCTTCCAGAACAAAATCAAAACCACAGACTTACCACGGTAAGGGTATTCACAAATATCATAGGAAGAGTTACTTCTTCTCCAGGTGTCTGACGAATTTATATTTGCAGTCACAACATTGTCTTTTAAAGTCAGTTTGTACTGGGATGCACCAAATATGGAAGCATCAACACATCGCCACCATAGCATGAGCTGTGAATCACAATTAACCATTTTCAAAGGAGATGCTGGTCTGACTATATTTAATCCAAGGCACTGTTGGGATCCCAAGTGGAAAAGGCGATTTTGGGAGACCCATTTCCACAAAGTTTCATTTGTCTCCTTGCAGTCTGCTGCCAAAATCTGTGAGTTTTTAACTTGTAGGCACTTTCTGGTTTTTTCATGGCGAATGGTAAATGCACCATTACCTGTATATAAATACACATATGCGTCATTTACATGGGAAATTTTGTTTTTAAAACTAAGACACGTTCTGATATGCTCTACCAGAAAGAACTAGCAATTGCAGTATATATACGATTGCTTATCACTAAGGCTAAGATTTTGTCATGGATATTTTTAGTAAAAGTCAGGGACAGGTCAAGGGCAATACAGAAAAATTCACGGAAACCCGTGACCTGGACCTGACTTTTACTAAAAATATCCATGACAAAATGGGAAACCTCTGGGCAGCTGCAGGGCTGGATAGGAGCTCTGGGGCCCCAACCACTCATGGGGGCTTGGAGTTCCCCTCCACACAGGCTGGGAGCTGCCGGGAGCCCCCCTGCTGCCGCAGCGGTGGGAAGCTGCAGGGATAAGCTGCCACCCATGGCGGCCAGGTGCTGTGGGGATCCACCTGCCGCCTGTGACGGGGAGCTGCTGGGGTCCCCCTGCTGCTGCAGCAGACAGAGGCTGAGAGTGGCTGGGAGCTGCCAGACACCCCCGCCGTCTGCAGCGGCCAGGGGATTCGGGGATCCCCCTGCCACCTCCGACAGCGGATGGCTGTGGGGTCCCCCTGCTACTGTGGCAGTGGGGAGCTGTGGGTATCCCTTGTTGTCCAGGGCATATGGGGGTTGCGGGGATCCCCCACAGCAGCTGGAAGCTGCAGCAGTAAGGGTACCCAGCAGCTCCCAGCTGCTGTGGGCTGAAGTCACAGAAGTCTTTGGAAGTCACAGATTCTGTGACTACTGCAACCTCTATGACAAAATCGCAGTCTTACTTATCACTGGCACAACTTATATAAACCTTAGCGTTAGTAGCACATTCAAATTTCATCTTCCTTACTGAAACATTTCTGTTAATAAAAAAAAAAGATTCTTTCTAAATGTTCATAAAATGAGTTTACAATGTAAGGCCCGATCCTAAGCCCCGTGAGGTCAATGGGAGTCTTTCTATTGACTTCAGTGCACACTGGATCAGATGTTGGATTAATTTGCAAACTATCTGGGTCTGCGACTTTGTTTTCATGCCTGTGTGTAAATCAACTAGAATGCTGTAGTTGATACTCAAGCAGTAATAAATAATCACCATCATCATCATCTCTATCTGCTAATCAGCAGGAACTATCTCTGAATGTGTGTTTGTATGGTGTCCAGCTCAATGGAACCCCCATCCAGACTGGGGTCCTTGGTTGCTACTGTTATATTAATTAATAATAACGATAATATAATAATGGACAATTATCCCATTTCAGAAATGTGCATACAACCATAAAACCATACAATTAAACAGGGCTTGAAATATTTACCCAACACTTACCAGTCGGAGGACTAAGGTAACATTTTCAGAAGCATTAGGGGCCTACGGCCCTTCAAGAGTGACTTAGATTTTGTCTATATGGGAAAGTTTTTTCTGGTATAACCTAAGGTGTGGATTTAAAAGGATATAGTTACACCAGTATAACTTCCCATATGGATACTTACTGGCCTTTTTTCAATATATCTTACGTCAGTTGGAAAGGATTTGAGGCTAAACTGGAAAAAAAAAATCTTATACCAAAATAAGCGTGTCCACAGGGTTATACCAGTTTAACTATATCAGTATTATGGTAAAACTGTCCCTGTAGGCAAAGCCTACACTATAAAGTAATATTCACATATGCTATGTCAGCTAGGAGTGTGAAAAAAATCACACACCCCAGCTGATACAGCTCTGGCAGCAAAACCCCCAGTGTAGTCGCAACTATGCTGGCAGAGGAGTATGTACCTCCCCCATTTCCAGTGGTAAAGTGGGATGGGTCCTACTCCTGGGGGTGTGAGAGGCTCAGGGGAGGGGGGTTGCACAGCAAGTCTGCCCTCCATACACCCCACAGCATCAACTCCTGTGGTTTCTGTTCCACAGGGCTGGGTGGGCTCGGTTTCCTACTCCAGACATTGTGATCTTGCCCCTTCTGTCACAGGTCCACTCAGGTTTGGCCCGGCCATATCTGCTTAGGGTCCTTTCCAGCCCTACATAGCTATGATTCTTAACAGATAAGATTCAAGATTGTGCTTCTACTGGAAGAACAGAGAAACACCAAGGAATCATAGCTTAAGAATCCACTTGAGTTGTAATCCTTCTCTTCTCATGATCTGACTATTTTGGAACATCTGCAGAGATTGAGAATTACAACTGAGATGTAATCAGCACTCAGATACGGTTCTGATAAGCACCTTAGTAGTACTGTACCTGATGAGATAAGGAAAGAGAAAAAGATATACTGTGCATTTTGGTTGTCTCTTGGGCATGTGAAAAGCAGCATCCTTCGTCCTGCAGCTATGGTAAGCCTTCCCAGGCTGGAAAGCAATGTGATCTTTCCAAGCCATTTGGACAGTACAGGGTACAGATAGGGATAGCGGATTTTGAAAAAAAAATTCTTTTGTAAGTGAATTTAGAAAAGCTTCCCACACTACTTCAACCAACATGCCTCAGCTCTCTGTCTACAGGGACCTTCTCTATTCAATCTCTGGCTTCTCTTCTGAGTCTGCCAACAGGAATACCTGGGATGTCTTTGGTGATGTGGACCTTTTTTCAGTAGAGTTACAAATGAATTCAAATTCCTTTTTATGAACATCAGATGACAACATTCATCAGATTGTAACAACTGTCAATTGTTCAACCAACCTGTGTATGAATAAAACTCGCAATCGGATCCTGAGAGATCAGCCTTAGACTATTTTAAATATTAGAGCCCCTGGAGAGCTAATCTGCCCCCGCTAACGTTTAATATTCTAAAAGATCCACATTTGGATGAACAAATCAGCAGCTGGTCTGCCTAGGATCCATCGTGACTGGCAGAAGAATTTGTCTAGCACCTGAGAGTGGGGCTACACACTGGAAGAACTCACTAGTGCCCCAAACCTAAACACATCAGCTCAAGCACTTTTCTAGCAGCAGGGGCACCTCCAGAGTGCAACAGACTAGGAATTAAGCAGGCCACCATTCTTTGGATTTTGCTATCTACCCTGCTTGCCTCTCCTTCTTTTAATACATTGGTTTGCCCTTGTCACATTATAGTGAAACTAAACTTCTTCCATTTCCTTGGCCTTAGCCGGAGAGGTCGCTTTGCCTCGCCTATCAGTGAACAAACACAAACGCCTGAGCTGAAATTCCCCGGCTGCACCACTTCCTTATACTGAGGACCCGAACTCTCATCTCTCAGGGCTGGGTTTCCCTGAGTGTTTCGGTTCCATCTACTGAGGCCAGGACATGGGCCGTATGGGGTTGTGCTATTTCTGGAAACGCGAAGGGGACGACTACATGGAGGAGGCAGAGAAGACTCGCCACAAATGCGAAGAAGGGAATGAAAGTAAAAGTGAATTCGCGTTTAGGCGGAGCCCTGCCCCGACCAGCAGCCTTCATGGTCACTCCTACAGTGGGACCCTCTCGCCTGTCCATGCGACGCTCCCGCCCCTGAGTGCGGACCCCTTCACCTCTCCACGGGGCGCACATCCCTTCCCACTAGGGGACCCTGCCCCTCGCCACAGGCGCCCGCTCCTCCCACCCAGTTACAGGCGTTTGCTCCCCGCTCCCTCAAGTGTCCTGAAGTTGCAACTAAATGCGCCACCAAAGCGCAGATGGGGCAGCTCAGGGACTCTTCCCTCCTCCAGCTCCCGAGTCTTCTCCGGTGCCCAGCTGCCTGGGCTCGGCTCAGGGTCCCCGGGGCTGTGGCCCCGCTGCGCCAGGGAGCCGGGCCGGGGGAGCACCTGGAAGCAGGTAAAGGTGAAAGTCCAGCGCTGCGTTACCTGCGGATGCCCCACGCGCAAAGCAGCAGGCTGCGAGCAGAGCCACCCAGCCGCAGGTGGCCAGTGAGCGCCAGGGCGCCCGCCTCATCCTCCCACAGGGCGAGTCCGGAGCAGCCCAAGCAGCCGGCGCGACCCCCGGAGAGATCCCCGAGCGCTTCCCGGCTCAGTGACACTCCCCAGTCCCACCGGCTCTCGCGGCAACCCATTGGAGGAGGCTGGGGCCAATCAGAGCGTTCCCCTCGACTCCAGGCTGGGCGGGTAAGTTGTTGCCGGGCGAAAGCATGTCAAAGGAGTTTACCCTACTAGTTTTAGCATGGACCTTACTTATGAAAGCAGAGTCAGGATGAGCTTCACCCTGACATCTGGTGGTGAGGTGTGGCAAGTTGTGGAAAACAACTTCAGGGGCCAATCTCATTTGCATAGGTACACCCACCCCGGCTAGAATGAGCCCATAGCTGCCCAAATGGTCACTTTGGCTGCTGTGGGATCCCCAGTGTCTCTGTTATTGGGGCAGGAAGAATAAATTGTTATTACTCTGATTATGGGAACTGTGCTTGGAACTGTACTTGAGCTTTTGTTATGGTGGAGGGACTCACCATCAAACTAAGTAGCACTCGCTAGGCAAGGGTCATGGGTTCCAAAACTCTGTGAATGGAGAGAGGTTGGGGACAAGTATTAATACTTGGTGGCATGGGTCCCTTGGTGAGGGGCTTACATGCTAATTGCACTTCCTCCTCTCTCCACTGTGGAATGTCAGAGCTAATTTTGATTTCATTAGAAGTCTAGTTACAGGCTGCTGAGCTCACTTTGGGCTAATAGTGCACCAGCACTGAGGCTCCCCTACTACAAGCTGAATTCACCAAAGAGCTGAACTGACTAAGAGCTGAAATCACTGAGCATTGTGTTAAATAGTGGGGGAGCCTAAAGATATATTGTGGAGCAGTTTGCAGGACGGCTGGAGTGCCTTGTGGACCGGCTGGTGGAGCAGTTCGTGAGACGGCGGGAGCTGCTTGTGTGCCACGGAGCCGAGCGAAGCAGTTTGTGGGGCGGCTGGTGGAGCGAAGGCCTATGGAGCTGTGCAGCGGTCAGCTTCAGATCATGTAAGGTGCCCCTTACCTCTCTTGCCCCCCCCCCATTTCCACCCAGGTTGGGAGGTAAAGCTCTGCAGATCAACTTTTGAACTCTGGGGCTGCCCTGACCAGGAACAGAGACTTTTGGGTCATTGGACTTTGGGTGATTTGGGGTTGCTGGACTCAAGAACCAAAAGGAAAGGGCATGCCCCAATTTGCTTGGGGTGGGTTTTTTGCTCATGGGTTGTGTTATGTATCCTGTTGGTGGTGTTTCCCCACATTGTTTCTCTCTGTTATTAAAACTCTTTTTGCTACACTCAGACTATGTGCCTGCGAGAGGGGAAGCATTGCCTCTTGGAGGCGGCCAGCGGGGGTGGTATATATTTGTCCCAGGTCACTGGGTGGGGGCTCGAGCCGGTTTGCATTGTGTTATTGGAATGGATCCCCTAGATATTGAACCCGGCCCTTGTTGCTGCCAACTCTGATGGGCAGAAGGGTTACACTTAAAATCACACCCCTCGGTGCATTCAGGCCCCTGGGTGGGGTGCAAAGGGGAACCAGGACTTCACTGAGACATACATAAAAGGAACAGTGTGAGAAGCTTTAAGCAGCACAGAATTTATTTCTACCCCCCATCAGTCTCCATCAGTTCAGCTGCATCCCCCTGCATCAGTCCCCTCCCCTTAGTCCCCATCAGTTCAGCTCCAGTCCCCCATCAGTTACCTCCTCTCAACCCATCAGTTCAGCTACAGGCCCCCATGTCACCTCCTCTCAACCCCCGTAAGTTCAGTGCCCTCCCCCACCTCCAACCTTACCTCTGAATTCTTCTGGGGTTCTTCACCTAGGGGCAAGGTGCATCCCCCTCCCTCCCCCCTTTCTGGGCTGGGAGTGCATCTTCAGCTGACCTTAGACTGAGCTGGGTTGCCAATTTTGGTTGGACATATTCCTTGAGGTTTCATCACATGACAATCCTCAATTAAAGATTAATAATCTTTAATTCCTGGAGACTCACTCCAAGGCAATACTGTAGGATTGTCAAGCCTACTTCACCCTCTCTACCCTTTCCCAGTCCCTGTTGGCCTCTGCTCCTCCTGCTGCCTCCTGGGCCTGGGAAAGGGCAGAGAAGATGAACTAGGGTTGACAACCCTACAGTATTGCCTTGGAGTCTGTAGGGGGAAGGAGACAGCTTCTGGGGTCCTGTGAGAATGGCTTGGGGTTGCTGAGAGAGAGAGCATGCACACTTTTCCTATAGCAGCTCTGATTGATTGGCTGCCTGCCCCACTTACCACCTCCTGGGGAAGAGCAATCAGAGGGGAAATAGTATTTGATTCAGCATTATTGGGGGACGGATGGAGGCCATACTTAGAGATGATTTTATAATACAAAGTTCAGAGCCTGAACCAGAGCTAGCTCTGGAATTTCTTGCTGATGTTCCGATCTAGAGCTTTGGTGACAGCCTAGGTTTATAATGTAAATGTTTGGAGCAAGGATTCATCTAATACTGGGTCTGGTACAGAGCCCAGACTCTCCAGGTGATTAACAAATAATACATAACAATGATGGGCCAGGTTTTCCACTGTTTAGCCCCATTGATGTCACTGGAACTATTCTAATTTACACTGGCTGAGTATCTGGGCCATGGTAATAATTAAAGAGAAATACAAGATCCTTGTGGGATAGGGGCAAATTTGGGTCTAAACAAAGAGGCACTACAGAGCGGCACGCTTAAGACAATAATGTTAAAAAGGGAAAGAGAAAAACATGGGGATATATATGTCCTATGGTACTGAGCCATGCAAATTATATCACGTCTATTCTCAGAAAAGAAAAACAAAAACCTTCAGGGAGAAAGAGGACCCTGGGAGAGGGAAGAAGCCAAGGGTGAGAATGTAGTGAGGTGGGGAGTGAGGACTAAGGAGGAGAAGGTGGATAAGGAGAAATGATGGAAGAAAGAAGCTCAAGGGGGAGAGTTTGGTCATTGACTTCAGTAGAAGCTGGATCAGGCCTGAGCAGTACAGTTTTAAGGCTTTCTGAGTCCAGCCTGAGCTGCCTTTGTATCTCGCTGGTGTTTCTTGGCTGAATTACTTCAGTTTAATAAGGGAAATTACAGCCTTTGAAATCAACATGGCTTTGCTTCACAGTCTAATAATAAGCCACATGATAATATCAAACACACGGAAAGCCTTTTCATTTCATTTTATTTTTTTAATCTGTGGGGAAAATTCTTGACCCAACACACAGCCCTAAGAATTAGGCTGTGCCTGGATTTCTCAGTTGGGGCACTCTCTCCTAAGGCTGCAGCATGACAATGAAACTGCTCTGTGGCACTGTTACGTCCTGAGGGCTGTAATAGCCTCTGCTGCTGGTGCCCTCCCCCTACAGAGGAGAACAGCCAGTGTACACGGAATGTACACAGAGAAGACCTCTGTGCACATGCAGAGGTGTGGAATCCCTATGTGAAGATCCCAAATTCTACCCTCATCCTTTCTGCAACAGAACTGCATTTGTTTCATCAAGGCCCTCTGTGTCTGTTGAGGAGGGCTGGATTTGTGCTATATAATCGATGTACATTATTAACATATGGGAGTTAATGCATCCAATGAAGTGAGCTGTAGCTCACGAAAGCTTATGCTCAAATAAATTGGTTAGTCTGTAAGGTGCCACAAGTACTTCTTTTCTTTTTGCGAATACAGACTAACACGGCTGCTACTCTGAAACCTATTAACATATGAGAGTTTAAAAAAATCATTTAACTCCAGTTGAGTGATAGCATTTTGCTGCTGCTCCATCCAAAACAAATTACTTCAGAGCCATTACTCACATGAGCAAGATCATCAAAAGTTGGCTCTAAAAGGTTTGACCAAGTGGGGGCTGGGGAGATGAGTGGTATTCCTTCGGATTGTAATGGAAAGCTAGTTGCCAAAGAGCCATATCCAAGCATAAAGAAAGAAAGAACACGAAGTGTGGTAGACACAATCCACAGGAATAAACAGATGCCTTCTTCCCACAGATGATGAGGAGGAGAAAGGTCACTCTGTGAAGGAACTGGTAGGGGAGTTAACTGTCAGATTATAAAATTCAGGAGTCTATGGCCTTTCTGATTTGAAACAACTGCAGCTAAGAAAATGAGCATATGGGATAAGTGAGTCACAGATACTAAAAAAAAAAAACTTGTTGGCCTGAAGGGGAAAAAAAACCGCGAAGTCTTCCAAAGCAAAAAGGCGTGTGAAATAAAATATAATCTGTTTATGAAGAGATATACTGTGCATTTGGTGATCCAGGAATATCTCTATAGGCAGGGCCCCAGCCAGGAAAGGAATTCCCTCACTCAAAATTTGCAGAAAAAAATTATTGGGGGATTATAATAAAATTTAGAAGACAAAACCAGTTAAGGGGAGTAAGTCAGATTTCCATCACGGTGGAAGGTGCAACATCGAATCTATTTTGTTAGCCAATACCATATATTTTAGAAGGTTTATGCTAAACTATATAACTATGAACCAAAGTCCTAGTATACCTTGTTAGGTATGCTAAGCTTTACAGTAGAATTGTATTAGCCAGAAAAAATTGTATAACCCCAATTTCTTGTACATGTAGGAACTGTCAGAAATGAAATGTGTGTTTTGTTAAGGTTTGCCAACTCATAATTAGTGTGCTGGGCACAAATATCAGGAATATTTGGGTTAGATAAGATGCCAGGATAATTGGCACTGGCCCTAGAAATATTTGGGATAGGTGTCTCTCTGTACCCTGAAAAACAGGAGGTACAAACTAGAGAAGAAACAGAAGAAAGGGGTGTGATAATTAGGGTATTTTCTATTTGATGTAAGCAGATAGGATATAAATACAGATCAAAATGAGCTCATGTCTTTGGAACAGATTTGAGCTGCGGAGCCGTTTCCCAGGGTCTGGTATGAATTTGCTTCTCTGTTTTTGACTAATAAACAACAATTGAGCTGAGCTATCTGACATATCATTGATTAGTAATCTAAATCAACCCCACTTACAATTTTACACATTTCTAATATACCCAGTCACTTTAAAGTCTGGACGCCCATCTGAGAATGTAGGTAGGCTGAATATAATGCTGTCAGGTGTGATGTTGGGAGCTAACTGTCAGAAAGGAGGGATACAAACAAGACTGTATAAGGGAGCAAAAATTATGTTCTT